CGAGCGGCGAGCTCCAGGTCGTGACCCCGGTGACCCGGTCACCCCCTCCCCTCCCCCGCCGGCGGCAGCACGTCTCGCCGTCTGGCGGCGCCCTTTGATCTCCCTGGCGATTGGTTCAGCCGCCCTGCAACAAAGCGGCGGCGGCATCGACCGTCGGCGTCGGCAGCGACGGGGATTCGTCGGCGCCGACGGCCGACGGCGGCGACGAACGACGGGGGCGGGACCGGGCGCGCGCCGGCCGCCGGTGGTCAGTGGTCGTGGGGAGAGGAGATGGCGGGTTCTATCGAGTCGAAAAAACGGTGACTTTTGACAAAGATGATGGCTGATTATCAAATTTTGTAAGTCATCTTGGTGTGTTTTTTGGTCTTGGCTTGCCGGGCTGATATGCTGAGATGTATCCTAATTGCATTCTTCCAGTTTGTATAAATTACCTTACTTGGTTTATTTGGATACTGGTGGATCGATTGCGTTCCAAAAAAAAAAAAAAAAAAAATAAGCTTTCCAACTTACTGTTAATTAGTGCACTTCTCAATGGTGGAGTTAAAGCAAAAACCTCGGACTGAGCATCCTAAAAAGGCTAAAGGAAGGTCGTGTTAACTCGGAATTTTCAGAGCAAATGTCGATTTGTTGTGTTCCTTTTTTCGTTTGCTTTTTATGTAGGCTTTTGTTCAGCGGACCACTTTTGATTCGTGCCGGTGTAAAAAGGTCGGATTTTGTCGCCAATGACTCTTTCAGCTATTACGGGATAATCATATTTTTCCTGTGTTTTGTAAAAAAAAAGTTTTTTTCATTTTGGAAATCACGTGCAGTTGCTCTGGCGGCCTCCGCCGCCGGGTTCAGTCGGGGCCGCCACCGCTGCTCGGAGCCATCGATCCCCACTGCTCGCTGATTGGTCGGCCAGCGGCCGCCGGCGGCGCTGATTGGCTAATGGGACTGTCATTTGCAAGGGTGTCCCTCGGGGGAGGCCCGGCGGATGTGTCGATGGGAATGAAAAATAAATAAAACAGACTCGGGCCGAGATCAAAGCGGCTACTCTCGGGCCGGAGGTAATGGCTCTGTGCGCTGCCGTTGAGCCAATTAAATGCTCTGCCGAGCCCGTGTCGGCACCAGGCGAACAAGAGCCGATTTTGGAAGCACTGTGGGCAGATGCAGCTGCCACAGTTGCCGCTGTTGTCACCGGGGGAGATGGAAAAATCCCCGCCACCGCCGGCGGTTGCCAGCCGCTTCTCACGGGGATGTCATTCCTGGCGCTGAAGGTGATAAGGTATTTCCTGAAGCACAGATTGCGAGACATACCATCGTTAGCAACAGCGAGAGCAAAGGCAGGGCTTTATGCATTTAGGCCAGTAGCAACCAGCTGCCGTCGGTTACCGCTGGGCTTCGCCGCTGCTTCCAGCTCATTTGAAAAACTTGGATGTTTTATTTGAATTCAAATGTTTGCGGTTTTTTTTCGCTCGAAGCATAGATATTCTATTAATTGGTCGCATTTTCCGAAAAGCAACAATTATTGCATTATATTTTGGAACAAGACCCAAAACTTACCTTGGGTTCCTGTTTTTATGTAAAACAAAAACGTCAATTTTGAATGCGCTCCTCGCAAAAATGTTTCCTTTGATGACCTGTTTCCGTAAATTGTTTGCTAGTTTTCGTGTGCGATCGCAGAGTAAGTTGGATTCGTGCTCCACTTTCCTGCACAAGATGTCATATTGTTGACTTTGAATAAGCACCTGACCGCCTGTCAATCCAACAGTTGTGTGCAAGTTCGAACGCAAACAAGTTCCGCACAAACCATGTCTCGCTCTTCTTTCAACCACACTCTGTGCTTTGTTGCATGTGTCCATTTGACGGCCACCGTATCAAAGCTGCTACCGTTCAGCGAACAGTTTTCATCTGGATGACGTCACCCTGTCAACATGTGTGTTCAAACACGGCGATATGTGACGTCATAGCTGCGAACAGCTGCCGTCCGGCCGCGCGATAGTGTGTGACGTCACTGTGAGCCTGCAGTGCAGTGTGCTGTTAGGCTCCTCCAATGAAAGTGTTCACTAGATGTGCCGATGTTTTTTTTTTTTGTCACTTATGGTAAAGACGTTTCAATCATGCCTTCATTCGTCCATGCTGACTTGCGCCCATATTTATTGAACAGTCACCTGTTCAGGGCGAACAGTTTTCTTCTTTACACTCCCCCTCTCAACCCCTCCCCCCCCTCCCGCCCCACCTTCATCCCACCGAATCCCCCGTAATGACATGAATCCCATCCGCCGCCCCGTCCGAGCACATTTGCGCTAAAGAACACTGTTACAATGGCCACCCGAAACTAAGCCGTTTTTTGTGCGTTCCGCGAGCGGGACTCGACCCGTCTGTCGGCTCCCATCATCGTGTCGCCGCTGTTGTCCTGTCTGTCATTTTGTCCGCTCTTTATGCGCTCTCCCTTCCGCGCGCGCGCTCTTCATTGGTAACAGTTCCGGCGCGCGTGTGCACGTGCGCCGCTGGATAGGCGCAGAGCGGTGGTAATCCGCCGTGCTAATTTTGGACGGGTTGTGTGTGAGAGCAAACAGGATTAAAGACAATTTGGAATCTGTCGTGGAGAGAGACGATTGTGGCGGTGGTGGTGGTGGTGTGGTGTCAGGTGTGGTGGTGGTGGTGGTTGATATTTTAGTGGCGGTGTTGGTGATAGTGTTTGGTGCAGGTTGTGGATCATTCGAAACAATTTTTCATGTTTTTAAATTGCAAAGAAAAACGGATATTCATTGTAAACACCTAAATACTTTCCAACAGTCTACGACAGCAGGTTTTCAATATGTTTACAACGAAACATTTTCGTTACTGAATTAGACGTGTTTGTGTTAAGGCTTTCCTAGAAAATGTTTTTCCCGATCTTTTGGGCCAAGCGTCAGATCAGTATCACAAAAAATGTTGGGATTTCATCTCCACCCAATTAATCTCCATTCAATTCATCAATGTTTGACAAACATTTACCAATTTTAAGGAATGTCTGAAAAAGTGAGCAATAGGCAGCTAACGATAAGTGAAAACTTGCAAATGTCTCCTGTTTGAAGTGATGGCTTCGGGGAAATATAACTGGTCGCTAAGTCCATGAATTTATATCGACAGTTATGGCAGTTTTGAGATGCAGTGGTGCAGAGAGACTTGATATTTACCTTTTAGATGCTCATGAATTCGGATAGCTTCGAACAAGACGTGTTGCCGGATCGGGAGTGGTCCTTAGACCTTAGCCAGTGATGCGGAAACTTCTGTTTTCCTTACAATCCTAATTCTGAACACAGTTCTTATGTTACTGAAGTGCTTCTGTTGTTATTACTAAGTGAGTTGAATTCTTCGAAAAAACAACAACTTTTGGAACCATGTTTGTTGCCCATTTAAATGGCATGTCTTTTGAATATTTCACGTTTGATGCCCTCTACCGCTCGCGCTTAACTTTAAACCATGGTTTTAGCACTGCCGCAAATAACTCCTCCCAGCTAGGATCTTTTAGCCAAAAATAGCTATAACGAGAACACATCTATTAAGCCTTGTCGCGCGGGTTAAAACTGGCTGCTGGTGCCGTTGTTCTGATGAGTCAGGGTGGCCGGTGCGCGGCTCAGCAGCCGCTAGCTGGCTGCATCCGCCGCCGGCACGCTCCCGGGCCCGCCGCCGCCCGGCTCAACCCTTTGATCTTGCCGACATTGCATACGGCGCGACCGGACTCTTTAATCGGGCAGACGGCACGTGCCGGGCGGCGCAGTGTCCGAATAGCGAATTTTCATCAGAAACTGAATTTTCAGCCGGTCGGAGCTCGTGCAGTTTTTAGCGGGCCGCCTATTGGCGGCGCAGGCAATAGGAACTGTATTTCAGGGTATCGTTTCCGGTCGAAATGACGGTATTTGCCGGGGGCGCAACAAGAAGAGGAGAGTTCATGGGTGGAGCTTTTCCAGGAAAGTTGGTGGGGCAAAAAGTTGTCAAACCTACAATGTCCGATTGTTAAGTTAGATAAAATTCAACAATGAATCAATTATTTTCATTACAGAGGTAATATTTTGCATTACACAGACATTTCAAAGCTACTCAATGCGAAAAAACATAGGTTTGCTAAGCAGTAAAGTCCTGCAAATCGGCTTAAGTTGGTGGGGCAAAACGCTTATTGGTGGGGCAAAATGGCAAGTTGGTGGGGCAGGCGCCCCACCAAGTGAATAGGAAGCTCCACCCCTGGGAGAGTTAATCACAAGCAGCAGACACTGAAAAACCAACACCACTCTCCGAGAGTGGTGTTGGTTTTTCAGTGTCTGCTGCTTGTGATTAAAAAGTTATTTCTATTTGCGCGAGACAAACGAATGGAGACAATGTTTTAAGAGATTGTAAAAGTTCGCTGAGTTTGATATTGTTCCACTCACAAGCATGCTTTTCTTTCTTTATTCTTCGAGGAGGCAACTATGGCAAATCAACAGCCTTAGGTGGTTATTCGTTTAAGAACAGCAAACCTTTGAGATACATCGCTATGATTGCAATGGGAAAGTGCTTGCTGTACGACAAATGTAGGTAAAGCTCACATGATCACGTGTTGAAACTTCGCTCAAACTGCTATTTGCAAAATGTCTTAACTGCCCAAGGTTTTACACAGCACCAAAATCCACGCCAAACACCAGCCCTGTCGCGGTCGCCCCTCGCGCGAAGTATCTGAGCCCTGACCTCTGACCCCACCCGTCCTCAGCGCACTCAACAGGCGCCCTCACCACCGCCCGAGGCGCTAAATCTGGCAACTCTCGCGGTGCGTCGATTGAATCTGGCAGCATTGGTATTCAGTGGGCGTATGGAAATAGCCACCTTAACGGCGGAGACGGTAAGGTATGTTGACGGATCGGATAGGGACGCACGGCGAAGTGAGGGGAGAGAGGGGGAACAACGGGAGGGGGAGGGACGGCGGGAGGCGCATGGCCGCGGGGAGGCAGGGGCGAGAGGGAAGCGGAGAGGGACATGCCAGGCGCCAGTCGACAGAGGGCAGCGAGCGCGGCAAGACGTGCAGCAGTGATTTTTTTTTCGCTCGTGGGTGTGACGCGCAGGCAAGGGAGCTATGGCGAGACGTTCAGTGTTGATCAGTGAAAGAGATGGGAGTCGGCGAGATCGACAGCGGGGGATTCGCACTCGGCGAAGGAAGTTGGAGGCTAGAGGACCGGCAGCAGGTGACCCAAGGGGAAGGGAGTCAAGAACAACAGGTAAGGGGCCATGAACGGCTTGTTTTGCTGTCTTCCGTTGCCCGCCACGAGGGACCGGGATCATGAATGGCGTCCGAACCGAGTGAAAGAGCGCAAGGAAATGCCTCAGGCGCTGACCGGGCTGACGTTAGGTGGTATCTGTTGAGGTGTCGTTTTTCTGCTGTGTTCAGTCAGGACGGGAGCTGACCTGAGTTTGGACCTCATTAATGTTCGAGGACCGATTGTGGTACTTACCTACTAATGTGGCGCCTGCAGGGGCGGTCAGTGGCGAGGTACATACGTATGTAAGTACCTCGCAAACGCACAAGTCAGGCGCATATCGCGGCTAGCGCGCCCTGTAGCACGGACGCAGCCTGTTTGCCTACAGTGAATAGACGCGGGTCTATGGGCCAGCGGGCGTCGCCGGCGGCTAGCCCCATTCGGCGGAGACGAGGGGTGGAGGTCCGACAAACAGCCCGTCTTTTGGGTCAGCAGTGTCCGATGGCGGCGGTCGGGACGGCCGGTTCACAGCCGAGACCGGAGATGATGTTTAGTTAGGACGGCGGCGCAAGGCCGGGACAAACGGGCAGAGGGGCAGGGACAGGGAGCGAAGGAGCGGGATACCGTCTGGAGGGGAGGTGGGGGGGGGGAGGGCAGGCAGTGACTCACCCGGAGGAGAGGGGGAATCACTGGGTTTGTGTTCTACTGTGTTCTACTACGGGTTTGTGTTCTACTGACGTTTCACCGAGTGGGTGTCACACCGCAGGGTCGGGAGTGTCGGCGGTGTGGCCGGGAAGGATCGGGCCGGAATGGCCGGGTGGTCGGCCGATGTGGCCGGGTGGTCGGCTGATGCAGCCGGGTGGTCGGCTGGTGCAGCCGGGTGGTCGGCTGATGCAGCCGGGTGGTCGGCTGATAGAGCCGGGTGGTCGGCTGATGGAGCCGGGTGGTCGGCTGACGCAGCCGGGTGGTCGGCTGATGGAGCCGGGTGGTCGGCTGATGCAGCCGGGTGGTCGGCTGATAGAGCCGGGTGGTCGGCTGATGGAGCCGGGTGGTCGGCTGATAGAGCCGGGTGGTCGGCTGATGCAGCCGGGTGGTCGGCTGATAGAGCCGGGTGGTCGGCTGATGCAGCCGGGTGGTCGGCTGATAGAGCCGGGTGGTCGGCTGATGGAGCCGGGTGGTCGGCTGACGCAGCCGGGTGGTCGGCTGATGGAGCCGGGTGGTCGGCTGATGCAGCCGGGTGGTCGGCTGATAGAGCCGGGTGGTCGGCTGATGGAGCCGGGTGGTCGGCCGATGTGGCCGGTTGGTAGGAACGGATGATGGTATGACGGTTGGTATGGCGGTGGGCGAGGGGTAAGCGCCTAGCGGTACCGGCCGGCCGTGTCAGTGTAACAGCCCATCACCGATACATCAACCTGTCAGTCAGTGGGGTCCGCCCACACGGGGACTGCGCGACCAGGAGAGAGAGGGGTCTTATTCATGACAGACAGCGGGGCACCGCAGACGAGGCGACGGCCATCATCGTGGGTGGCGCGGCCTGCTGAACGCACCGCACACACCGCACGCAGCAGTGTGCGGTGCCCGTGAACACCCCTGTTCACAGACGAGAGAAGAGGAAGGACATGGGAGGTGAGTGAGCATGACTGGGGGTAGAGTGTGGTTGGGTGATTCGGCCGGTACGGCCGCTGGTGAGCCGGGGGAGCGGTCGGCTGGTGAGCCGGGAGCGGTCGGCTGGTAAGCCGGGAGTGGTCGGCTGGTGAGCCGGGAGCGGTCGGCTGGTAAGCCGGGAGTGGTCGGCTGGTAAGCCGGGAGTGGTCGGCTGGTGAGCCGGGAGTGGTCGGCTGGTAAGCCGGGAGTGGTCGGCTGGTGAGCCGGGAGCGGTCGGCTGGTAAGCCGGGAGTGGTCGGCTGGTAAGCCGGGAGTGGTCGGCTGGTGAGCCGGGAGTGGTCGGCTGGCGAGCCGGGAGTGGTCGGCTGGTAAGCCGGGAGTGGTCGGCTGGTGAGCCGGGAGTGGTCGGCTGGTCAGCCGGGAGTGGTCGGCTGGTCAGCCGGGAGTGGGCGGCTGGGGAGCCGGGAGTGGTCGGCTGGTGAGCCGGGAGTGGTCGGCTGGTGAGCCGGGAGTGGTTGGCTGGTGAGCCGGGAGTGGTCGGCTGGTGAGCCGGGAGTGGTCGGCTGGCGAGCCGGGAGTGGTCGGCTGGTAAGCCGGGAGTGGTCGGCTGGTGAGCCGGGAGTGGTCGGCTGGTAAGCCGGGAGTGGGCGGCTGGGGAGCCGGGAGTGGTCGGCTGGTGAGCCGGGAGTGGTCGGCTGGTGAGCCGGGAGTGGTTGGCTGGTGAGCCGGGAGCGGTCGGCTGGTGAGCCGGGAGTGGTCGGCTGGTGAGCCGGGAGCGGTCGGCTGGTGAGCCGGGAGCGGTCGGCTGGTGAGCCGGGAGCGGTCGGCTGGTTAGCCGGGAACTTTTCCGGTCGGGTCATGACCTTGACCAGCAGTCAAATTTTCAAGTTAACATTTAGGAGTTAACTTATGGTCTGTCGACTCGTCTCGACGAGAGGAGTACGATCCTTGCAAAGTAATGTCGTGGCTCTACTGAGTCAAGGTGGTTGGAAAAAAAAAAACATTTTCTGTAAACCAGTTATTTCGTTGTTGTTTTTTTTTTTTTTTTTTTGCCCTCTAGAGGCCTGACCGTGGGCATGGGGGTCAAATCTGAGGACGCAATCCGGAAAGAGGGTTAAAAGTGCTATCGAATGCGCTCTTCCGCGGCGCTGTGGCTTTGTTGGTTCTCGAGTTATGTGCGGCTGTTACCATTTTTTTCCAAGTGTTGAACAACACGGAGGTTACAGCGCGCTCCTGAAAAACCGCGACGTCACCGCGAATAGGTGCGCACGGAGGAGGAACGTGCGTTTCTCGTTCCGGGTAGTTAGCGGGACGCGACCGGCTGGACGCGGCGCGTCCCAGTTGCGTGCCTGGGGACGCCGTCTAGCCGACGCTGATTTCATATGCGTCTGAGGAGGGTGCAGTGTTACGGTATGTGGTGGCGGCGCGAGTCGCACGAGAGGGCGAGCAGCGCGGTGGGCAGCTGCCGCCGCCTGGCAGAACCCGCGGCGCGGTCCAGCAGAATGGCCCTCAGCGGGGCGGCTCGGTTGCCCCCCCCCCCCCCCAGCGTTTCCACCCGCGCCGCTACGTGACAGGACAATGGACAGTGACCGCGGCCGAGACACGCCCCGGCGAGGCGCTCGCTCGGGTAGGGAACTGACGGTCGTCGCGCAGGTGTCTCGGTGTCACACTCCCTCCCCCCGACCCCCTGGGGAGCCGATTTGGGAGGAGGCGGGGGAGACTGGCCGATACGTCGGCGCACCCTCTTCCGAAGAGGAAAGGAAGGGATGGGACAAGGGGCGCTGATCGCCGGGATGAGGCAAGAGGGGCAGAATAAGCTACAGCGGGGAGGGATTGGGGACTGCAGGGGCCGTGCGACGCTTGCAGGGAGTATGTGAGCAAACGGCAGGAAAGCGGCCGTAGTCGTTTCGGGGCTTGCGAGTTGTTGTCTCGCGGCCGATTTCATATCTTGGTAATATCTCACATCACGTGGTATTTTACGCCCCAAGTAACAACACTCTCGATGCCTAATATGCCCCAACTGTATGTCTGCGTGCTTGGGTTGCAGTTCACTTTATCACTATGGAAATCATAGCTAGTAACAGAATACGATAATACCATTCAGCTTTCAAAAGAGAATAGGCGGAAAACGGTCAGATATTTTTTTTAGCCACCTTTATGGAATCGACCGCTGATGGTAGCTTACTGCGAAGACGAAATGTATTCCGTGCAAACGCGTTCCGGGCATCTTCGGTCTGCACAGGAATGTAGCTTCGGAAGTACGACGTCACGGTAAAAATATTTTGCCGCAGAACGGCATGAGAGCAGTAATCGCCACGAAACTCGAATGCGCAGATCGCTCACGAGGGCGCAATACAACACATACAATATAGTGCATACAATGCATGACAACCTAACCGGCCCGGGAGGACGGCTAGAGCTGTGCGAGGCTTCTAAGGAGCCTGTCAGGAGCGGGCAGCTGTGGCCTGACCGGGACCGGTGAGGGTCTGTCGGGGGTTATGTGGTCTGACCGGGATCATGACGGCTGGACAGGAGCCGTGGGAGACTGCTGGAGCCGTGCGGGGCTTATAAGGAGCCTGCCAGCGGTGGCCTTATCGGGGTATGTGAGGATCTGTCGGGGTTTAGGTGGTCCGTCTGAGACCAGAACGGCTTGACCAGTGCCGTGGGAAACTGCTGGGGCTGCGAGGGGCTTGTAAGGAGCCTGTCAGCGGGCAGCGGTGGCCTGATCGGGGCCTGTGATGGTCTGTCGGGGGCTAGGTGGCCTGACTGAGACCAGGACGGCATGACCGGTGCCGTGGGAAATGCTGGGGCTGCGCGGGGCTTGTAAAGAGCCTGTGAGCAGCGGGCAGATGTGGCATGACCGGGGCCGGTGAGGGTCTGTCGGGGGTTATGTGGCCTGACTGAGACCTTGCTGGCATGGCCGGTGCCGTGGGAAATGCTGGGGCTGCGCGGGGCTTGTAAAGAGCCTGTGAGCAGCGGGCAGCTGTGGCCTGATCGGGGCCGGTGAGGGTCTGTCGGGGGTTATGTGGTCTGACTGAGACTAGAACGGCTGGCCTGGCGCCGTGGGAAACTGCTGAGGCTGTGCGGGGCTTGTAAAGAGCCTGCCAGCGGTGGCCTGATCGGGGCATGTGAGGGTCTGTCGGGGTTTAGGTGGTCCGACTGAGACCAGAACGGCTTGACCGGTGCCGTGGAAAACTGCTGGGGCTGCGCGGGGCTTGTAAGGAGCCTGTCAGCGGGCAGCGGTGGCCTGATCGGGGCCTGCGATGGTCTGTCGGGGGTTATGTGGTCTGACCGGGAACACGACGGCTTGACCGGAGCCGTGGAAGACTGCTAGAGCTGTGCGGGGCTTGTAAGGAGCCTGTCAGGAGCGGGCAGCTGTGGCCTGACCGGGGCCTGTGAGGGTCTGTCGGGGGTTATGTGGTCTGACCGGGACCACGACGGTTTGACCGGAGCCGTGGAAGACTGCTGAGGCTGCGCGGAGCTTGTAAGGAGCCTGCCAGGAGCGGGCAGCTGTGGCCTGACCGGGGCCTGTGAGGGTCTGTCGGGGGTTAGGTGGTCTGACTGAGACCAGGACGACTTGACCGCAGCCGTGGGAGAACGCTGGAGCGTGCCGGGCTTGTAAAGAGCCTGTCAGTAGCTGGCAGGAGGGCGCCAGTGGCCCTTTCCGGGGACTACGAGTCGTTTGTCCTAATGGCTGCATCACTGCGAATATGTATGCATTTCCACGCGCACGCGCACGCTGATGTAAGGTCGATCCCCCGCTGACGAGTTCTCTCGAGAGAACCACACCGCCTGCGGGTTCACAACGGCCCCTCCCCTTTAACGAGAAAAACGAAATAGCGTTCTAGGAATTCCATGGAAGAAGGTAAAAAAAAAAAAAAAAAATCACTGCTGCACGTCTTGCCGCGCTCGCTGCCCTCTGTCGACTGGCGCCTGGCATGTCCCTCTCCGCTTCCCTCTCGCCCCTGCCTCCCCGCGGCCATGCGCCTCCCGCCGTCCCTCCCCCTCCCGTTGTTCCCCCTCTCTCCCCTCACTTCGCCGTGCGTCCCTATCCGATCCGTCAACATACCTTACCGTCTCCGCCGTTAAGGTGGCTATTGACGTCCTCGGTCCGGTCTGCACGGTAATCACGTTCACATAGTTGAGCAGTCGGGTAGGAAGTAAGGCATGTATCGCATTCGTGGGATAGTATGAGTGAAATGGTTTTTATCGTGGCTTAGATCCAAGATGGCTTCAAGGCTACTAAGTTTCCCGAAATGTGTACATTTTGTTATGCGATGTTATGCCATGGATAGCTATATATGTATTTATTCATGTACTAAATGAGCAGCTGAGTTTATCATGAAGCTTCCCTCCCATTATCTCGTAGCTAGTAATACGCTAAAATCACCTAACCCTCACATCAGATAGGCCGTGACGGGCGGCATTTTGGACATAAAAATAGCCTCTGCACTGGTGTCTGAATGGCCTATTTGGCGTTTTTGTTGGGCTAATAGCTGCTCTCGTTTGTTGTACCCTTCAGAGGCTCGTCAGATCTCGCAAAGATCGCAGAGATATCGCGGCGGGCATTGTGTCGCAGAGGGTCGCCACGGGTCTTCATTGTTTTATTGAGTCGGCTGCAGATGCTAGCTATGTGATAGTATCTGTGATGAGAGGGGTAGGGGCTGAGAGGGAGAGATGGGGTAGGGTGAGGGAGGAATATTGAATATTCAAAGGGTGAAATAAATTATGAGAGTGTAGCGCACCGTCCATGCCCGTTTTATACGTTTTCAGATGCTATTTTGGTTTCGCTATGTTGGTCGGAATATATCGTTGCAGCTTTCCGCTGTATGGCGATTAGAGTATCGGCATGTTTGCAGAAAGCTGAGTGGAAATTTTTGTGTTGATGAGCTCTGTGCTGCAATGTGTGATTTGTCGGACGGGGTGTGCTGTCATGTATAGTTTGTCACTGATACTGACGTGTGCAAGTCAATCGGATACTCTTCTAGTTTTTTTTTTAATTTCATGGCTTTTAGCAACGGCCAGTCAGATTGTAATTCAGTTCACCGCTCAGTTTCGATTCAATTAAAGTCTGCTTGCTATGATTTCGCCGTAACTCCTTTGTACCTCAGCGGAAGAACTTTTGGCTCGCTTTTGTCATTCCTGATAAGAATCTCTTTCGCTACGTGGATAGTCATGCACCTTGGGCAGTGGGCACTTATAATCACATAACAGATTTTACCATATTTAGTTTCTTCGAGCTCCAAACTGACGTTGTCTTGCTCCTATTTTCAGTCGTCAACCTTCTTTACATACCTGAAGTGCCACATTTAAGTTTCTCTTTTTCCCCACATCTGACGTCTTTTTCTCCCTGTTTTCCAGCCGGGAAAGGTGCCTCTGCACCCGCCGGGTATCTCGCCGTTCTTCTACTCTGGAGATTCACTGTCGCAGCCCCCGCCCGCCCACATGGGTATACCGTCGTACCCGCTGGATCCCAAACCAGGTAAGACATGGGAGAAATATCGGGCGGGATTGTGTTCTTGGGTGAATGTATGGTATTGGGATAAAGATATGCTCGTGGGTGAAGATATATGCCTGGGTGAGACCTACATTGGGCGCGATCTATACTTGCACGTCCTTTGATACGATTTCAAACGCGGATTCGTAGATACGTAGATGCGAGATTACGAATTGATTGGATAAGACAGATCAAGTCCCAATGGCCCAGTAAATAGCCAGTAATATTTCACGTGACCATTTTAGTTGGAACCGGCCAGCCGCGTAAACACACAAAAATAAGGACACATGGTCATTGGTTAGCTTCATCAGATATTGTGCGCTGATATCGCTCTGCATCAGGAAGAAAGGCGTGGTACGCGCTTCGGTGGCATCTCCTGGGCTACGGCCGGACGACGCTACGACTCGGGTGTTCCACTGGGGTGTGACGATTTTCCTCGTTAGTTTTTCACATGAGAGGCTGGCAGTGCTTGTTACTGGGCATTCTTCGCTATCTTATAGCAACTTGTGACGCTAAGAGATCGGCGTGAGCGCGCAGCTCAGCACATTTGTCTCGAAGAGCCTCCTGGCTCGGTCAAATTGACCGATACCTTGCTGTGTTGCCAAGTGTGACAAATTCAGGATTATAATGAACATGGATGTTGCATTTATTTTTAATGGCATCTTTCCCGGATAACATTGATATCCCCATGTGAGTACACTTCACGAAGTCAAGTATAATTCTTTAAGCCATTTTTGTCGTAAGCCTTGACTTTGCCAGTGCCGTCCTGTCAGTCAAGTCAGTCATGTCCCTCAGAGGTATCGTGTCTAAACTTTCCTAAGCCATATTTATGAGCCAAGCCATGTCTAAGCCAACCTTAGATCACAAGCCATGCTCTCGCTGCATTGCGTCTGGACGCCACATGCGGTCGCCTGTCTTTGACGCTTCTGGCTCTATATCTGCACTGGTCCAAATATCACTATCGGCTGTCTATGACTGCTGCCAGACGCACCGGTGACAGGGCTGTCATATCCGTCAGGACTGTCATATCTGTGCTCGTGCACCGGTATACGTCAATCGTCACTCGGGGGGGGGGGGGGTCTGGAAGTTTGGTGGTGGATCTGTGCCATCATGAGATCTTGCGCTGTGGTGTGAGAACTGGAAGCGACTATACGACGTCTCAATGCCGCCTATGCAGTGCTAGCGATATGCCTATTGCCAAATGTTTTGCAGCGATATGCAATTGATAAAAATCTACTTCGCCCGGTCTTGTTCTTTGCAGCGTTCATGCGTTGACCACCTGGATTCTGTTGTTCTGACAACCGGGGAGGTAACTCGTTTTGCGGTGGCATATCGTGGCCATGATGGCACTAACGGGAAACCGTATCATTCGCCGGTGCCCACAGGAAAATTTAGACGGATAGCGTGTTATCCAAGTTTTACGGAAGTATTTTCGTGGCGCGAAGTAGACAAAAGTGTATTCATAACGTGCGAAGACTCTGTTTTACATGGTAATTTACATGGGCGTTATTTAAAACTGCATTTTAGCACCTTTCACAGACGTTCACAGACATGGTTTCCTATGAAGCGTTTCATATTGAAATCACGCAAACTAAGTTTGCTGGAAACGTACACCGTTAGTAACACCCATGCACCCACCACAATAATGTTATCTATCAACTATCTTTCGACCAGTCTCAAATATTTGTTTTTGGGCGCAGACGTTCATAACTCTGATTTTATCGAATTTCTACCGGCTGTCCAGTGGCCGGGCCCTCCCTCGGTTGGATTGAAGAGTTTTTCTCCGTCGAACCGTGCGCTGATTTCGCCAGAGCCGATTCAATCTCGTCCAATTCTGTCCCGATGTGTTGTGACCGATTGATCCGATGTGAGAGAAGAACCTCCTGATTGGAATCGGGATTAAATAGCGCAGATTTTGAAAAGCGCACCGGATGTCGTCCGGGTAAGCCTTTTTGGTCAGAGGCGTGTCCAGAACGGGAACGAGTTTTCCGGCGGAAACTGTGAATTTTTGTCGCGTGGGCGCGTATTTGTATGTGATTTTTGTCGCGTATTCATTTGCTATCTAAAAACTCAATAGAACGAAGCTTGTCACAGCATACTGATCATGCATTTGATGCGCGGCACGACCCCAAAGACACAAGGTCCAGAAGTCTTGTTCTCCCATTTTCTCGATGCTGGCGACGCCTCTACGAGGCTGGGCTTAGACGGTGAAATCCAGGAAGTTCATTCTTGTAATCCGCGCAGAAAAATGCTGCCTCAGAAAGGATCGTCTCCAGATAAATCGAGCCCTCGTTATGATCATTTTGTCGGCGCTTGGTTTCGGATGGGTCTCAGGGGTAAGGAAAATTGGACTTTGAGTCGCGTGAGGGTGCTTTGATTCGCCAAATGCCGCTGTTGTCTCGGCGGGTTTAGACCACTATACAGCAAAAATTTACGATTTCAAATGGCACAACGTTATTCAATTCTCTTTTCCTTTGATACTAAAAGCGTGAAATTCTTCTACCTGGAATACCCCTCATCAAATGAGCTTATTTGCCATTTCTTTCAGTAGCTATTCCCATTTCTTTCAGCAGCTTTTCCGATTCCATGAATGACCACCACATCAATCACACTGACGAGCCATGCCGTTATCTCAATAGATCACGACTCACGAGTCAGTTCCAGATGGCTGTTGTCCGTACCTTAATCCACCACCGCCACCGTATCTACATTTTTACCCTCAGCAGCCTCCGCGCCGTGCAAAAACCATTCTTGTGGCGTCAATTGCCGGTCGAATGGTCCTCACTGTCTCATCGGCAGTGACAGCTGCGATACATGACCGTCTGCAGTGCACAGAATGTCCGCCCTGTGTCCCGATTTATACAGGGCACATGAACCGCACTGCTCAGCGATGTTTTATACAGAACGGAGCCCATTTGGGGCGGCCATTTGCACACAATGAAGATGTTACGGTGGATGTGACTGTCTGGCCCGCTGGCATGCTGTGTGGCTGGCTGGCAGGCTGTGTTGGCTGGCTGATGGGTCAGCAGGAACAGGAGGCTTGTTCCTCAGGGTGTCAGCCGTGCCGGCCGATGGCACTTGTTGCACACGAGAGGGGGGGGGGGGGGGGTGAATGTCGTGGGAACCGCTACGTGGGAGCGTGACTGAACTGTCATCGGGGGCTTAGACCATTGTAATGAAAAATACAGCGGCGGGTATTTCGTGTTTGTTGTAGGACCAGTGGTTGGTACTTCGGGCAGTCGACATTGGGATTTTTGTTCTGTGTAATGTGTATTCTTGGCTTATGTTCCTTCATGTGACCTTTACAGGCATCGGCGAGTATGTCGTCAATGTATGTGACCTTGACCCAATGTGACCTTGACATGCATTTGACGCTTTGCCGGCAGGGATGGCGCGGGCTCCGGTGTACCCGTTCACACCAGTCTCCTCCCACTGCGCGTACCCGCCATTAGGCGCGCCCGACCTGCCGCCGTGGTGAGTCACTCTCCGGAGATCGCGGGTTCGAATCTCAGGGACTGCCTTCGTTTATAAAAGATGTCTGTAGTCAATAAAGCAGTGGCATTTATGAATGACGGGAAGAGTTGTTGGTCTACGATGATAATTTTGTTTTTGTGATACCAAAGTTTGTTTAGTGGTTAACAACATATTTGTAGGTAGCTCTTCCACTACCCCGTTTTCACTCGTTTTGGACTTGTAGAAAAACCATGTTTGCCTCATCAGACCTCGTAGGCCTAACTTTCGCTGTTATAGACATTTTCAACGTGGACTGTGTACCGTCTCGTGCAGCTAGACTTCTGTCAGGCTGTGTCAGTGTTTCTCGTGCCTTCCTGTTCTCGTGGCGTTGTCTTATGTCTATATCTCCTTTATGTTGTCTCATGCTCGGTATTCCATCTTTGTGTCCTCCCGTGTCCCCCCAGCCTGGGTGTCCTCAGGTGTCCTGCCCCCCCCCCCCGTACTGATCACGTGTCCTCTGACGCTAAATACTCGCTCGGCCGACCCTCACCACTATTGGAAGTGACATCGCTGTCGGTGATAAGACTAACACGTGTTGGAGGCGGCTGGTTAGCATAGGACACTGATTGATGTCGGGTTGAGCGAGGCTCAGAGTGAGAGATGACGTCATCAATTTAGGTAGAGTAAAAGATGACTGAGGTAGAGTGAAGGCCGGTCAGTTCCATCTAGAAGACTCGTGGATTTATCTCGTGGACCATGGATACTAATTATATCAAGCAAACTATGTTATGCACTCAACTCTGTTTCTGAAGTTTCGGGCAGATCAGCCACTGGTTGTGGTCACTACCCCACCGATCTGGAGCTTGCCTGGCAGCTGGCTGCAGTGAAGCATCATCTGGCAACGTTGAAGCAGCGACGGCCAGTGCTGTTACCAGATGGACATTTCGTGTCCGGCCGGCTGCTGCCTTATCGCAGCTCCCAGATCTCCAGTAGCGGAGACGGCTGGGGCGGATAGTGCTGACATCTAGCGGAAGGCTGACAAGCCGTAGTTTGTAAGCTCTCGCTGAAAAGGTGTAGCGCTGCCTTACAGACAGGGGAGAAGTGTGGTTCGCGCTTTTGGCCTGCACTGCATTATGCATTGCATAGTGACTGACTGATAAACTTTACCAATTTCGGTTGTAGCCCATCCAGTGCAGGTCGCGTCTCGTTGTAGCCTTGATAAGCACCTCAGAACTTAGCGAAAATGACAAGACGAGGCGGCAAGTTTCGCCAAGTGGAGACGAGCTCTCACTGACTGAACCAGGCATTTGATTTTTTTCTGGGGGAATGTTGGCAAACTCATGGTCAATAGTTGGTCACCGGCTGCTGCATAAGGTATTGATTAGGGAAGAGGGCAACAGCCGTAACCTATCGGGAAATCAGAACGAAGGCTGTCTCCGTTTGACTTTGTAGTTATTTCTGGGAAGCTGCACAGGCTAGGTAACATGAGATGGTATGTGTATATTTGCGTTCAAATGGGGGCATCACAGTGGATATAAGCTCGCATGGTGGTCGACCGAGAAGGCTTGGGAGTTGAGAGTGTACCGAGTTAAGAGTGAGTTTACGAGCGCTGCCCGCCTAGTATCTTGTAAACCTGGAAGCTCGTTGGGTGTTAACGTTTCTCGTGGCATCATGATTGTAAATCGTAACGGAAATGGTGCTTCTTAAACGTCTTAGATACGGATTTCTGGTCGGTTTTGTTAGTCAGGCACCGTGTGTAAATGTACTGTCCCTTAGAACCGAATTTCTGAAATTGATGAGGCCACAGTAACTTGACTCATGAAGTTGAGTGCATTTTATGCATCCCATCAATCCTTTCCTTCACAACCAGCTGTAATCCTAAGCTCACTGAGTCAAATGATCGGCTTACCGCAATCAGGCTATGACCACGTGACATACAGACTGATGTGTGTACTGTGTTGTGAGTTCAGTCGTGAGTCGTGAACTCATGCGACTTTTGAGTCCATGTCGTTACCTATCCGTGTATCGACTCTGTGACATTTTGATGTAAAGGGCTTTGTAAAGGGGTAACCTTTGAGTGTAGTGTATGGCCCAAGCCGTGACTTTATATCGTGCACAATGAATCGTGAGTCCATACACACCATTATACCTACGCGTCATGAGTCCATTGCGTGTAGGTATAGCCTACATCGCTAACACTTCCTCCCCACTCTACCCGCAGGAATTCTCCGGCGCTCTACCCCTCCACCTCTGGCGCGTTTCGGTCAGCCTACTCTGGCCTGCCCTCCAGTCTACACAGGTGGGTGACGTCATCGGGTAGCAGACAGCCGCAGGATGACGTCACTGGGTGCATTGTGCGCCGGCGACGGGACTGACTGTGTTGACAAATTGTGTGTTAGCAGTGGGCAGTCATGTGTACCTAAGAGCTCTGTATGGGCTGTCGTCTCATGGGTTTAGTACTGAGCGAATCAGCTTTTGTGTTGTTGAACATTGCGTGCCTCTTCGTTGTCGTTTTTCTACCGGATAAAAACAGGACATTTAACCTCACTAAGTACTCACAAGCATGATTGATTATTTTGTATGAAAAAACTGTTCATGAACGGATTCAGGAGAATATTCTTCCCTAGCTATGATAGCTGAGACCTGATGATGCATTTGTTTTTCTATTTACCTATCTTGGAGAAGCAAATATTGCTATTCCTCCGAGACGTTCTTACCTACCTATGCTGACGTTTCCTCCCCTATCATTTCAGGTTTTCTACCCGCCTGCCTCCCCACAGTTGACAATGACTGACGCATTCTCTGTATCGTTTCAGGTTTTCTCCTGGCCTGCTGCCTCACAGTTTACCGCCCCACCTGCTCCACCCCGAGTACCTCAAACACAACGGAGACAACCGGTGAGCGAACTGACGCAGCATACAGCGGTGGAATAGGGGGAGGGGCTGCGTGATAGCTGTGATCGGTGAATGGTGGACCTGTCCTGTGTCATAAAACTATGTTCAGCTGTAGGTTATCATCTTCATTTATTCATTTTTTATGATAGCATCGAATAATTGCCAATGCAATCGCAAGGAGCTCATGACCTTTGTGTTTCAGAACAACTTCTATAGACCTGGGAGCTGTACGTGTAACTATGTCTTTGTATGATTTCAGCAATTATTCTACCCGTTTAACCCCAGATGAAACAATTTAACCCCGTTTAATTTCCGTTAAACCCTCATCAAACCCCATCTAACATCTGTTAATTCCATTTAACCCCTCTGACCTACCTGACCCATCTGCGTAACCCCCGTGACTCGTGTTTGACCCCGTGACCCCTGTTCCAGGCATAACGCGGACGTGAAACCGGTCATATCTGCACCACCCCCCGGCTCCGGCTCCAAACAGCAGCAAACCAATGGTCAGGAGCCGGGTACGTGTCGATACACTCACTCGGATGTCTATCGAACACACAGAATGGGGGTAAACTGGGTGTAGAGTAACTCGGGGATGGTATGGTTGAACAGTTGTGTCAATAGTTCGGTGTAGATTCAGATGTGCAGTCATACGTTGAAGAATTTGATAAATTATTATTTCAGTGTCATTTGTGTGAGAGTTTTGCATAATTTTCTTAAATATTGCAAAATATGACTGATATTTTTTTCGATTAGCTTGTAAAGAAGGTCTTGCTTCAACGATACTCGCATCGTAGGTACATGTATCTCTAACGCTGCTCGTACTGTTCTCTCCCCAAGTGTCTGACGCTGCCCGCCTGTGCCGAGCAGAGAAGAAGAAGTGTCACATCAAGAAGCCTCTGAACGCCTTCATGCTGTACATGAAGGAGATGCGAGCCAAAGTGGTAGCCGAATGCACTCTGAAGGAATCGGCAGCCATCAACCAGATCCTCGGCAGACGGGTAGGTGGCGCTGCTGAGCCGCTCGTGTATAGATGTCGCCACTGAGCAGAGGCATGCGCAGCTTGTGGTTATCGGCGGAGCGATGTATGTACACTACAGCCCACCGCTAAAGTAATGTAGGGTTTTACCAATCTCAACGGTTGGCTTTGACTGGCGATTGTTTAATGCGGAGTGATCGAAAAGAAGATGTCAATAGCTTAAGTTGCAGCTGCAAGGGTGCCGATACACATAGGCTACATTCAAAGTTTCATTGTAGTCTGGCTAATCGTTCCTAAGCTTCAGAAGCAGAACATACCCATTACTGAAACCCCACATTACATCTGCTGTGGACTGTACATAGGAAAGGCGCTGATGATCGCTGTTTGCTGATATGTGTGGATATTTTAATTTTCTTTTTCTTGCATATAAGCTGTTTTTTTAGCTGTTTGTTCAGCGCACGTTCTCTTTGACAGAAACTAAGTTAGAAAAAGGTGTACTTTGATCAATTAAGCGAGAGCACATGTACACCGGCAAGGAAAAAAGTATAAAAAACGCAACGCAACGCGTGATGATCCACTTTCTAAATAGCATATCCGTTGTATGTATCTTATGGTGCAATTTCAATTATACCATATGTTTTCAGTGGAGTGCTTTGCCTAAAGAGGAGCAGGCTGTGTTCTATGAAAAGGCTCGCATCGAAAAGGAAAAGGTAACAGCACAGAGCGTGGTACTCCAATGTAGGAAACATTTCAAACGCTCACTAAGTCGCATAATCGGTCTCAGGTCATGGTTTGGCTGCAAGTCAACCTGTCTTACTCTTGTCGCGATTTTTACTTTTAGCTCTTCATAATATCTGGATTCTGGATATTGTGAGAAAAGTGTTGAACTTTGGCTATAACCTTGCATCGGAGTACCACGCTAGAGCCTTCACTAGACGTAGACCCTCTCTGCACCTGATTTTGTCCGAGTTCTCTCATAGTGATATTAAATCTCTATGAGTAGCGCACATTTCTCTAGAGGGCGTTGGCGTCCAATGCGCTGCGCTTGTGATATATAATATATATGTAGAATTAATTCAAACTTGCAATTCATTTAGCAAGTAGACACTAGACATACCAGGCAAGGTCACCAGAGTTTATTTCCTCTGCAGAAATTGCTAAAGATAAAGGCTCGGACACCATTTTCATTGCGGAGAAAGGGATCTAACCTCTAGTGAACGCCTTGTGCTGTTGCCTTATCTGGAAGGATTTTACTGAAAACAGATAACCGCCAACTCAGTTACTTGATGATGTTTGCATTCTTTGGAACTCGAACTTGCATGCGTGCTGGCTTATCGGATTGCGATTTTGTTTGCAATGTTTATATGCAAAGCACGATTATGTGTTTCCTATGTCTGTTCTCTGAAGCCATTGTTGGGTCTGCATTTCTCCAACCTCGCTCTTTTTTGTCGTGCTACGTGACCTATTTCGTCAAGAGCAAAGTGGGTAATTAGGCGAGATGGTCTCACTGTTTCTGCCCACCACGCTCTCTCCTCTCTCTCTCTTTCTCTCTCTCTCTCTCTCTCTCTCTCTCTCTCTCTCTCTCTCTCTCTCTCTCTCTCTCTCTCTCTCTCTCTCTCTCTCTCTCTCTCTCTCTCTCTCTCTCTCTCTCTCTCTCTCTCTCTCTCTCTCTCTCTCTCTCTCTCTCTCTCTCTCTCTCTCTCTCTCTCTCTCTCTCTCTCTCTCTCTCTCTCTCTCTCTCCTCTCTCTCTCTCTCTCTCTCTCACTCTTTCTCTCCTACTCCCTCTCTTCCCCTCCCTCTCCCCTCCCTCCATCCCTCCCCTCCCTCCCTCTTTCTCCCCTTCTCTCTTCCCTCCCTCTCGCTCACACACCCCTCTCCCCACCTGCAGTGGCACGCGCTCAACCGTGACGAACAGTCCAAATACTACGAAATGGCGCGAAAGGAGCGCCAGCTACACATGCAAATGTACCCGGGCTGGTCGGCGCGGGATAATTATGCCCAGTCTAAGAAGAAGAAGCGTAAAAGGGATAAGGTGGACGGAGGTGAGTTAGAAGGTGAGAAACGTGAGATCACGGTGAGATCCGCCGGGGAGAGTGGTGGTGGTGGTGGGTGAAGGGGGAGGGGGTGCGAGAGGGTTTGTGGGGGAGTTAGATTTGTTGGAACTTGGAGGGGTTTATAATATTCATGTTTTTGATTAATTATCGTTTTAATGCGAACTTCTTTGGGTGGTTTTGCTACTGGGATATATCGAATTGGATAGTTTATACGCTGTTGTAGTATTTTATCGATAAACTGATTTTGCGGTTCGCTTTAGTTGCATGCTATTTGATGCATCGTAATTTGCCATGTTAGTTAACATTTGCCAAATATTAGCTTTAGTTCTATATGCAACTAATTTAATATTTATGCCTTTAGAGCCGCATCGCTAATTTTCCCGCCACATGGAGAAGTTAGATATCAGTACCCATCTGTGAGTGTGACCACACCCCTGACCGTCCCTGCCCGCCCGTTCTAACCAACAGCCCAGATGAAGAAGTGCCGGGCCCGATACGGTCTGGAGCAGCAGGACCAGTGGTGCAAACCGTGCAGGTATGAACCCAGCTTTAGTCGCCACTCGGTCCTGGTTGGCGCAGTCGCGGTGCATGGCGGGCGATGGTGGCGCCCCTGGCGGCCGCCGTGGGAAACTCGATGATGGACTGCCGGCTTGCTGGGAACATCAATAGAGCTGGATGAAGTGACATTTAGTGGTTCACTTTTCTGAAGCATGCGCTTTCCATTATTCTTTGGAACTTGGAACAGCATCAAATGAAACCGTTCTGCCATATTTATGCGAAAAACAGGCGTGATTAATACGTTCTAGTTCCCCTATGCTCTAATTTGACATGAATGCTGGTCAACCGAACCCCGGATACAAATCATCAGTCAAGATTTAGTGCAACGCACAGATGCGTTTTTTATCTTCTTTAAGGAATTAAAAAAAAAAAACTGACCTTCTCTGACAGAAAGAACTCACGCTCTCCAAATTTGTAATGAGACATAACCCAACATTTCTCTTAGTTTGGCGATCATTAAAAAGTTTTTTTTTTTCGACGATCCAAATTTCCCAGTCCCCGCCTGCAGTCCAGAGGGTGGCGGCGGCCGCTGGGGCGGCTAGTCCTGGTGCTGGGTATAGGGTCTAGTCCTAGTCTAGTCGGTACTAATCCACCGCGTACGGAACCAAAGCTCTCACGGTGTGCGTCGTGCGTTTCCGGCCCTCCACCGCCTCCATCCGCGCCGGAAGTGCCCTCAGTGGCCACCGGAAGTTTCAACTTCCGGTCACAAAAATGGTGACGAATCGTTAAGGATATCTTCGTAACTGCTTAAAATGAAAAAAAAAACTTGCTTAAATTCAAAATTTCGTTTTTAAATTTTTCCGAGATATTCCCGGGCCGGAAGTGGTTGGCTTCCGGTGTCGGTTTCCGCCGTCGCGCCGCGCGCGCCGTGAGACTTTGTGTTTGGTACCGGGCGCCTGGGGTGACGGTGAACGGCGGCGCGGCGGCAGCGGCGGCGGCTCCTCACGTAGCCTCGACTCAATTCTGGCGCGGTGGGCGCTTGTGGCGCGGGCGGAGGGCACAAAAGCGGCGCAGGGTGTTGGTGGCGGGGCCTGGGAGATGTTGGGGTTTGAGGGTGTTTTTTAATCGTTACGTTCGAGAAGTGAGTTCAGTACTGGGTTGGGAAGTTTGTATTGAAGCCCAGGGATCTCAGTAAAAATGTTGAAGTTTTAAATCTAGGCTTTAAACTAAAGCGTCTTTAAACCAGAAGTTGAGAAAACGCACAGTTCAAGTCGATAAGTTGTTGTTCAGCTGTCTGTTTTGATGTGTCTGGTATGCAAATGCCTATCATGTATTTCAGAAATTATTGTTAAGTTGGTATTTTTATGCATAAAACAACAATATTTTCGGTTATTTGGCAGTTATTGGTGCAATATTCTCGCAGATCGATATCTGCCAAAAGATATTATTTCTAGTTTAACCAAAATTCCTGTTCGCCTTTGGTGAACAAGATGCTCCTTTTTTAGTTTCTTTTGCTCCTATTTCCTTATTTGTTTTGGGTTGTTTCGTTAAAAAGTATTTTATATTTTTCCATCAGGCGTCCTTTCTTTTCTTTTCAATTTTCTGCCACTCCGTTTGGCCATTGCCAAATGTCCTTGAAAATCGTCCGCTGATTGGTCGATTCCCACAACACATGGCCCCATGACCGGTCGCGGCCTTGAGCGCTGCGCGGTGATTGGCCGGCGCCGCTGGCCCCGCCCCGTTGGCCTTGAGCGGAGCGCGTTGATTGGCTGGTCTGACGGGGCGCCGCCTGCACGCCGCAGCCCGCCGCGCCGGCGGCGCGCCGAGCCCGTGTCGGCGCCGCCGGCGGCGCCCGCGCCGGTTCCGGCGCGCGCCGGTGCCGAGCCCGATAGCCGGCCGGCCGAGGCGACCCACTCACCCTCCGGCCGAACGTTTATTAGTCTCTAGTGTGAGTCGCCGTCTGAGGCCTTTATCTTTGGCGTGCTGTGGCTCTGAGCATGCGCATGCCTGCATGCTCCGCACTCATTCGCATGCGTGTGTAGAAAATGGGCAGGAAGGGTTTTTGATGTAATGAGTAGGATTTTGACGGCTTAGAACTCGTTTTGGGTTTGAATTTTGTGGTAAGCAGCGACAGCATCCGGTCGAATTCCAACTTAGTTTTTGTTCCAACTTCTTAAGATGGTTGTTGGAGGTGATCCGACGAATGAAGAAATTGACTTTTCCGTAACGTGTAATGGTGGTCAGCTCAGCAAGGCCCTTCTCGCTTATCCAGTACATGCTCGTCAGTTCTTTCCAAAATAGTTGACACCTCAGTTTCGTCGCACGATGCATTGGAGAGCGGCGATGTGGGAGCATTATTTATTATTGGTCTTGCACATCACATTTATTTCGTATCCATTAATAGATGTACCCACAGTAGGCGACACTTCACCGTTCACGCTTTGGGATCAGCACATTCCATTTATTTTTCGGTTTTAGCTCCCCATTCTGTTTTTGCTTGATTGTTGTTGGCTGTTCGACATTGGCCGTTGTTTTCCACGGTTCCGAGCTGCGTCGTTCTGTTCAGTTGGTAGCGTTTTTAGTGGCCGCCGCCGCACGCTGCCGGTGACCAGTGACGTCAAATGACGTCACTGGGGCGCAGGCGCGCGCTGTGTGTTTTCGATGCCGTGTTGCCGTGATGTGGCTCATAGACTGAGCTGAGCGTGGCTTGTGTGATATGCCTACTAACATTTCCAATTTCCGCTAACACCTAGTAGATGACAAAAACAGCAGCAAAATCACGATGAAAGCTTTTGAAAGGCAAATGACGTGAAGATGACAGGCAGTAAAGAAAAAAGAAACGATTTATCTATAAGAGAAATCCATGTGTGCTTAATTCGTTAGTGTGTACCTACCTGCCAGAAAATGTATCAATGTTACTGGCTAGATCTATGTTAATGTTGAACGTTTGTTAAACGGTCATAGTATTGGTGTTGTGATTGTCAAGAATTTATGTGTAGCAATACCCCAAGTCCTGATAACAAAAGCAATTCAATCAAAATAAGTAGGTATGATTCATCTACAAAGCCACATTTTTGCCTAACGTTGCATGACTGGTTTGAATTTACAAAACCCGAACATTGTATCATATCTTAACCACCCTCATAATGTTTTCATGGTTTTGTGAGAAGTAATAAAACGATTCAATGTGGACATTACGCAAAAGACACTAGACACATGCTAGATTGACTTCACATGTTGATTCAGCCCCCCCCCCCATTGTGCACCCCTTTCCCTCTTCTCTCCCTCCCCTTCTCACTCTCCTCTGTCCCCCAACAGGCGGAAAAAGAAGTGCATACGCTACATGGAGGACGGCGAGGGAGGAGGCGAGGACGGCGATGGTGACGGAGAGGACGCCACAGACGACGAGGACGGCATGGATTCCTCCGGAAATGGCGACGACGCCCAGACGCCCAACTCGGGGTCGACGGACGACCAAGCGGCCACCAACTCACCCTCGGTGTCAATGTCGAGTCTGGCCAGTCCCGGGTACTCAGTGACCTCGCTGCTCAGTCCCAGCCCCATGGCGCCCAGTCCAAAGACGCCAGGAGGGGTCATGGTGAACGGTGTCGGCGACGCGGCGGCGGCGGCGGCGGCGGCGCCCGTCACCTCGGCCGGCTCGGGCGGGTCGTCGGTACCGTCACCGGCGTTCCAGCAGCCGCGCACGCCGGTGGGAGCCAACCCGCGAGACGTCAACAACCCCCTGTCGGTGGGCCAGCTGACCAACAGCTCACCGCGCCCCTGCCAGCCGCTGGGCGGGCCCGCCGGCGCGCCGCGCACCGGCCAGCCGCCAGCCGCCTCTTGCGTGAGCGTCACGTGACCTGCGGAGCCGCCGCGCGCCGCCGCCTAGCGTCGGTCACGTGACACCCACTGTGCCATATGTAGGTGTAACGCCAGTGCCGAATCCAGGTGCAATTGCTGCCGAGGCGCCCCCTGCCGCCGCTGGCCGCAGAGGTGCTGCCAGAGTGGCGCGCTCTTCGGCGCCCTAAGTGTACCCCGCTTCCTGATTGTGCTTACAGAATGTGATATTGCTTGAGCCCACGTGACGCGGTGGTTCTGGCGCCGCCGCTCTGGTGGACTGGCGAGCGCGCGCCGGCGCCGACGGCGCCCGTTGTTTTGCTCAGTGCGTGTGTGCGCCGGTCGGGCGGCGGGCGCCGACTCGGGGCGCCCTGCGGGGGCGCCGGCGCCCGTCACAAACCGATCGAGATGTTATATTTTGGTATCGCGCGCTTTCATTGGAGCCGGAAGGTGCGGCCTGTTCTGTTGATAGCGCAAGGCTCGAAGTAGATACCATGTTGGAGACAGGTCCTGGCCGTTTAGTTTTGCGACTCCCTAAAATGCGCCCGAAACTTTACCTCATTTCAGCTTAACATCCATTCCATATTGACTTGTAAATAGAGGATTTTTATGGTGAATCATAGTGTACATTGTGTGTGTGTGTGTGTGTGTGTGTGTGTGTGTGTGTGTGTGTGTGTGTGTGTGTGTGTGTGTGTGTGTGTGTGTGTGTGTGTGTGTGTGTGTGTGTGTGTGTGTGTGTGTGTGTGTGTGTGTGTGTGTGTGTGTGTGTGTTTGTGTGTGAGAGAATGTGTAGGGCGTGTCTCATCCGTAATGGGGGTTTTGTTTGTGATTGCTTGGTAAGAGTCCTTGTGTCATAGCGGCGTAACTAATGCTTCTCATAGTGGCCGAGAGATGGCGGGCGCAGCGCGCCGACCGGTCACGCTGTCACGTGACTCGGGCACGGACGCGTTTTATTGGGTGTTTCTGTTTTGCTACCTGCATTGTGGCGCTGTTCATGTACAAAATTCAGAGAAGACTGAGTGCTGGACGGACTATTCTTGTATTCTGTACGGGCATCGCACTTTTGACATCTGTTATCAGACCTCTCACCGATAGCCCGCGTATTCGTTCTGGTGGCCACGCCCGAAAGTGCATCGAGATTGTAGGCACGTGTAGAGCGATTTTTCTGAGCTTCAAGAGTGTCACTTGGTTAGCTGTTGCTGGATAGTGATCATGTTTCGCCAGATTGGCATTTCAAGAAAATGTATGACGTTTTTTATGTTTGGTTTGTCGCAATGTGCTCACCACGAGATTTGGGGATTATCTGGAGAGTTTCAATCGTGCAGTTGTCAAACTTAAAAGTTCTCGGGAAGTTTGACAGTTTTCCCATTGTCAGCATATTCGGTACTAGGTCGCTGCTGTGTTACCTGAGCTTGTTTGCGAGTGGCTGTTACGAACAGGAACCCAGTAGGAAGAAACTTACGCCTCTTCATTTTCAGGATAATGCGTGCTATATTTTACCTAAATTACTGCAATATTAATAGTATCGTTGACAACGTAAAATCGAATGGTATCAGACTACTGAAATTTATAGACCGAAAAGTGTCTATGGTCTGCGGACAAAAGTGCCAAATGTCTTCACGGAGTGGGATGTGTAATACCTGAGCGTTCGCCCGTTTTACTATAGGGCCATTTCAACGATACAATGACATTCGAAATCAGTAGACATCACATCACCGAATCACGTCATCGGAACGTAGTGACATCATGCGAGCTACGTCATTGTTCTATCGTATATGACGTCATTTGTGGGGCCGATGACGTCACTCTTGACAATCAATTTTGGAGGCAATAGTGGTGCACATGGCGCCCCTTCGAACGGCGGCTCCTGCAGATGTGACGTCACGTGAGTGTAGGTGTGTGCGTGACGTCATACCGCGCGCGTGTGTGACGTCATATGGTGTGTGGTGACGTCATTACTGGTTTGTAACGATCTCCCGGCGAGGGCATGCTGATGAATGCTTGTGGTGCAGAGAAATACAGTGTTTACATACGAGATGCAGACGTATTTCGAGGAGCTGTTGATGTATGCAAGGTCTCGAGAAAGTCAAAAATGGTACTCGATTGGCAAGAGATGCGGTAATCAACGCTTCTTTTTTCACTTCATGCGGAATGGTTCGACATCATGAAACAATAAATTATAATATTTGGCGATAAAGAAGAACAAGCTAAAAAATCACAATCCCAAGCGCGACGGGAAGCCATCTGTAAGCACGGACGATGTTTGAACCAAGATCACACCAGAACATTGACACGCGTACCAGTTTCACCTAAATCCATTGTGAGTTTTACTCATCTTATGCATGCCTTTTGATGATGTGTTTAACGTGTCTCAATCGTTATACCGAACTAACTTTGGGAGCTGAGTGACTAGCCTGTATCCAGCATCAAACCCAACACCACCAAGTTCTGAGACGGACACCTTATTCACTATATCTACCACTGAACACACCATGTTTTGTTCTAACCCTTACTCACCCGTGACAATCGTTTGTCATCCTTCCCCCTCCCCCCGGGGGTGCGGTGCCTGGGCGCGCCTCTGCGGCACGTCCGTGACCGGCCGCAGGTCAGGTCAGGTCAGTCACGTGGGTGGCGCCGGACACTGCGTAGTGCGTGACGGGACGGCAGTGAAAACAGGGCGCCGGGGGGCATATTGAGTCACGTGACTATAAAGAACTTCTACCCGACTCAACGCCTTCTACATGCTGGATGTCACGTGGTTTATGCGAGTGAATTTCAGGGCCCTGTTTCACCGGTGATAGCAGCAAGCTGCTATGACGTTTCGCGAGCTGACGTCATGTCGTGACGCCATACTGTTGTCGTAATGGGTAGTTCCGGCGCACGATTGCCGCGACCTTGGCGGCGGCATTAAGTGACGTATGAGCCTAAAAGTAAGAGTTTACGCAGTCATGATAGTATATATATTTTTGATATATATTTTTTCAATATGATGTATTTAAAAGAAGTTGGGTTTAGGAAAAATTTTGACATTAACTTCGAACATTTAGCTGATGACGTAAAACAATATTGCGGCAATCGTGCGCCAGAATTGCCCCTTACGTCAGCAGTATGACGTCATCACATTACGTCAGCTCGCGCAATTTGATAGCAGCGTGCTGCTATCACCGGTGAAACAGGGCCCGGGAGCCTTGATCAAATCGCCCAAGTTTTCACCGTCGTCCCGTGACGGGACGGCAGTGCGTGTGGCCGCTGAGTGCCGGAGGCTCAGGCTGTCAAGTGTGTGTATGTGGGTGTGTTTGTGTCGTTGTTGGTGTGCTGGTGCCTGGTGTGCTGGTGCCGTGTTCCTGAGTCTGCGGATACCGTGAGCCGATATTGTTCTCGGAAACTAACGACTCACACTAGCAGAGAAGTTAGCTCAGCTTCGGGAGACGGCGAAAGGTAAGTGAGCATTGTTTACAGGACTCCCATATTCTATTTTTCCACCGGCTAATCCGCTTAATGCTCGGATAGGTAATAGTCAGCCTGGTTAAATGAGCTTGTTTCCTGGAACCGATCGAGGGCTTCCCAACGTCAATGTAAATCACGCTTTGTTGTTATAATTGCACTGCGTATTGGATATTGCCGGCAACAGTTACATATTTTAGCCTATTTCATTCGTGTAGCCAAAATGTTGAAAGGGTGTGCGGGTGTTTCTTTTTTAGGGGAAGACTTTTTATAGATGTGCTCCGAACCTTTTCAATGGCAGGATTCACAAGGACAGAGCTGCGCTAAGCGAAGCTTGTTGCGTTGACCCTGTCCTCAACCCTCCGATCGCGTAATTCCTGACCTATGGCAGAATTTGGAGTCCAAAGTTTAACGTGCGCAGTGCGCACATAGCCGCGCACGGCCGGTCCCCTCACTGACTTCGCCTGGCTATGGCCTACCACCGACCGCAACCATATCTGTCATGCCCATAACTGTCAAGCGCCCGTCGCGCTTCGAACCCGGACTGCTATAACTGGGAACGCGTGCTCTCACCATGCGGAGGTTTGCCCCATAACTTACTTCCAGTTCCAGTTAGCAAACAATGAAATGTTCTTCATATGCATGCTTTACAAAGATGAAGAACAAAAATCAAGTGTGGATTATCTGGCTCGCAAACTATCGGGGCCTTAGCTGAGAACCGCCTGGCCCGTTTTAGTTTTAGGATCACGCAGCCGGCCATTCGGTACACTATACTCCTACAAGCAGCTACAACTACTGCATTACTTTCTCGGGAGAGCATAACGCACAGCCACCGGAAGCGGCGGCGTGCGACACCGGAAACGGTACTTCCGGTCGGCGGTCCAGCGGCGCTACGAACAAATGTGACCAGCTTCTGGTCCGTCCGATCTGGTAGAGAGACTGGCGAGGGCGTCGATTGTTCATATTTCTATTTTTTATTTTTTTTTTTGTTATAAAAAGAATAAAACAACGTCGATTTCTTTACGATGGATCTGAGTACAAAAATGTGTATTAACTGCAGGGAAGCGTGCATGCATGCAATTGCACACTCTTTGTACGTCTAAGAAGATATCTTTATGCTCGTCATTGTTCATCTGAGTTTTACATTTGTTGCCGGCTTAACATTTGGCTAAAGGTTAGTTATATAAGATGAGACCGCCTTTATGATTTATGAATGCACTTCCGAGACCTCGTGTCTGTGTCATAGATCACCAAGGAAAATAATAAGCTGATGATCAATCCTGCGGAAACAAACAATAGCAAATGATCCTGAGTCATCCTCAATTAAAGCAGATACCGGGTGGTTGAACTCTGGCTTGGAGGCTGCACCGGTGACAACATTAGACAAATAAACGGAAGAGGGGTCTGTTTCTCTGCTCCGAGACATGCACTCTGTTGGTAGGTATAACTTTTCACTAACATCCGACAAACATTCATAAACATTGGAATTTTCTTTAACTCGTTTCTTTTTTAAATTGGTATCAAAAGTTGCGTTATCGTACCTATAAATAACTTTAGCACACACATTATGCTACACATTTTTATAAGGCATGTATGCAGCGCACGAACCCGGCATACTTCAACGTCATGCACACTGGTTTGCACAATAATTAGGTCCCAACGCGGTTGCTCAACGCTCTCACCCCGTCGTAAACTCACACCGATCCTACGCCGGAAGGTGTAATTATTCCCACACCCGGCCGTAGTATTACACGGCACATTTCCGGTGATTCGGTAGCTGAATCATCCCAGTCAGCTGAAATCGGTATGTTTACAAAGAGCCACTCCCGCGGCCTCCCCGACCGGTCGGTGGGCGGAGCCCAGGATGACGTCATATGAGGAGAAAATTGTTGGTGATCATCCGCAAACTCGGGTGGCCTTATATGGACGGAGAGGGTGAATATCCATACATTGGACCTAGCGCTCCTAGGCCATAGACCCGGGAACAGGGGGGGGGGGCAGCGGGGGCGCTTGCCCCCCCCCCAACTTGAGAGCCCAGGGGGCGGCGCCCCCTCAACATTGAGGCAGCGAGAAAGGCTCTTTCCTTCCTTTTCCGGACTTCTTTCCTTCTCGTTTCCTTTATACATATAAACATCAACACACGACATTTTCCTTGCCATCTGAGTGGTTTCTGCTTACAGTATCGATTTGACAACATCTGTTATTGTCATCCCGCTTTGGTTTGGGCCTGACCTTGGACATAAGTTTGGCAGACCAGATTTTCTACTGGACCATTTTGAGTCAACTTTGAGAAACATGTATATAATGTACAACGGTGGTAAAATCCGTAAAATCGTTGCTATAGGCATAGCACAGTTTACCCGCTCCGGGTGTGAGGGAGGGGTGTGGGGCAATGGCTACCAGACATGTGCATGGATCCGAGAAAATGGATCTGGGATCTGATCCCACGGATCCTGATCTCGGATCCGACGGTATCATAGATCCAGCTCTGTAATTTATCGAGAGATCCGTAGGGATCACAGATCCGAGTCTCATTTTTTTTGCGTGAGATCCAGTGAGATCACAGATCCTCACTTATTTTTTGTCAACACATATATCCCAAAAAAGCACTTGTTTCAACTCACGAATGTTCTGTTTTAGTGATTTTATGTGATCGCACGTCATAATCCATAGTTTTGTATCATTTATTGGCATAGTAGAAACCCTTCAAAACATGGCTTCAAATGTGGTGCATGGTGGGATCCACTCAGATCATAGATCCATGTTCTTCATTTATCGTTAGATCATATGAGATCATAGATCCAAGATGTATTTTTCACGCCGGATCCGGTGGGATCATAGATCCCAACATGTACTTTGCTTCGAGATCCAGTGAGATAGATCCATCACTCGGATCCATGCACATGTCTGATGGCTACGTTTTACTGTTCATGGCACAAGCTAAGCCGATTTTGAAAGATGGCTTTGCTCCATCATAGCATTTAGGCATAATTTAAAAATGCAAATATAGGATTAGGTGCTAGCTAAAACCATATATACGCCCATTTTTTGCATAAGGTAAATAGTTTCCGAGAAAAAACGCACGTGAAGTTTCGCTAAATCGAGTTAGATGTGTCATGGAAACGTGGTGAATGAGTGCACTGACGTGGCGTCCTCGGAAGACCGGTATGGGATTAACCCGCGAGTTGCTGGGGGGGGGGGGGCGTTAAACGCCCCCACTTTTTTCGCCGGGTCATAGCATAAAAACGGCGCGCCGCAGGCGCGCCAAATTTTGGGTACCTGTAGGGAATCGATTGAAGTTTATTTTGACAAAGTTGTAAAAAAATCGATTGGAAAATTTTTGAGATATCGATGTTTTAGTGACGTCATGATTTCTGAGTTTTCGACCAAAAACGGCATATGTTCACAAAATCATATAAAATCACAGAATAGACATACAGACATGCCGTAAACGCCATTAGACTGCCGATACCATGAACAATTAAATGGCTATCTTCGATTATTGATTATCGTTCCGCATTTTCCAAAATCTTGAACTGAATCCTGGCAATTTCTCGTGACTACTTCACCACCATGATACATGCATTTCTTAAATTGAACTTTTTGAGCCAAACACGTACATATATGATAAAATGAATGTCACCATCGTGTTCTACGCCCCAAATTACCCATAAAACATGTGTCACAGGCTGCGAATATCAGTTTTGATTTTCGGGGATATGTGCCTACCCGGTTGACCTGACCTTGACCCTGACCTATGCTTGACTGACCCCTACATGGAGCTGACACTCTTGTAGGCCTTATATGATGGATTGTGCACCATTTTGACAGAGTTTATGACGAGAGGAGCCCATTGCGAAGTCCTGAAGTCCATGCTTCTGAAAGTGATTTCAGGTGTTTGACCTGACCTTGACCTGACCTCTGACCTCAAAATTCAACTTTAAAGTACTCATCTGAATCGTCTCGTCGCGTTCTTTCGTTTGCCGCCTCGTGTGTTTCGCTGCGCCTATTGGTTCTCGAGTTATCGGCTGGGGGCGTTTAACGCCCCCCCCCCCCCCCAGCAAACGGTGGGTGGCGAAATACCCCAGCAACTGCCGGGTTAAAGCTCTTAGCTCAGCGACACTAAGGACTTGTGTGGTGCCTTCGGTTATCGGTAGCACCCTCAGAATCACCGGCGTAGAGCCCTCAGAGCCACCGGTAAGGGCGCTCAGAGGCGCTAGTGTGATTCTCTCAGAGGCGCCGGTGAGGGTCCTTACAGGCGTTGCTGTGGACCCTCATAGACGCTGGTGTGGAGCCGCGACAGACGGGAGTGGGTCATTTAGAGCTGCTGACGCGAACCCTCTACAAGCCGGCAGGGGGTTCTCAGTGACCGGCAAGGGGCCCTTAGGCCGGCACAAGAAGTTTTTCGGGGTCCTTACTTAGAGACCGGCATGGTAACTACTGTCAGACGCCGGTGGGGCCCTCAGAGTCACCGGTGTGGGGCCCTCAAAAGTCATCAATGCAGTGGGTGGCCTTTAGATGCGCAGGTGTTAGGACTTTAATAGGCACTGGTGTAGGCACTCAGAGTTGGGCGTGTGAAATCCTCAGAGACACTGGTATGGGCCCTCATAGGCGCCGATGAGGGCCCCCAAAGTTACCGTTATGGGGCCCTCAGAAAAATAAGTGTGGGACCATTTCAGGTGGGAAATGACCCTAGAACTGGCCCCTCAGAGGTCGGTAAGAACTCTCAGAGGCCAGTAACGGGCCTTTGGAGACCACCGAGGGGCCCTTAAAACCGCAAGAGGTCCTCAGAAGTCAGTGTGAGGCCCTTATGGAGATCTTAGTGTGGCTATTTAGGGCCCATGAGGTGCTCTAACGAGCCCCATGGGGCCCTTCTGAGTCGAAATATGGCCATCGTTAACCTTCAGCGGTCAAATGGCGCCGCAGGGCCCTTCTGACCCGAGGGTCCCTTTGAACCCGATGGGAAGGGGGGGGGGGGGTACGTGTCCCCTTAGACCCCTAGCTACGCCACTGTTTCATATGCATCATGTCAGGTATTTTAGGCTCGCCCCCCAACTTGAAAATCGTTCCCGGGCCCCTGTCCTGGGCCTCTAAAATGTTCCTTAGTATTGTTACTTAACTGAAATAAAATTATCTTTTTTACATGCCTCTTGCTGGGACGTTAGTCTTTGCTTCGTGTTATTATTGTATTGACATTTAAATGTTAACTTGTAATATTTTGGATGTTAGTCATATACGGACAATAAACCTCTGTTAAACTTAATATTTAACTCGTCATTTTGACCGAAACGTTCAATAAGTAAAAAAATTATACCTTCTACTAAAGGAAAACGGCCTGGCCAAAGGCTATAGGCCTGGCCAGTGTACTCTCGTTTTACCTAATAACCTGACGATTGTATTCGCGTTTTTATTCTGACGAGTGTATTTACCATGCGGCCTATCGGTTGTATGCAGTGTGTCGCAGCCATCAGCTCATTGTTCCATTGTACATACCATTGGTACAATCGTCATCAAGGCAAGGATGAGGATTGGTTGGTTCCTAGAATAATCGCGGTTGGATGTTTCATCGAACTTGAAACAGATCATGGTTAACCCTCGCCCATGTAGGGGGGGGGGGTTGGTGCAACCCCCCCCTGAGGTTTTTCGGAAATAGTGCAAAAACGGCGGCGCGCAGCGCCGCCAAATTTTGGGTACCCTATGGGGCAAACCTTGCGCATCTTTTGATAAAAAAAATTTGACCGGGTCATGTCAGGTCACGGAGTTATGACGTCACAAAGGGAACAGCCTCCGGCCGGATTTTCACAAACTGAGTGCCAACGCCCGAGGTTTCCTGCCGGTGGTACGGACATCGGTTGATGGATCGTGATGAAACTTCCCATGCATGTTGGGGCAAGTATTGGCTATCATATGGTATAAGAAACTTGACCGGGTCAGGTCAGGTCACGGAGCTATGACGTCACAAGAGGAACAGCGTCCGGTACTATTTTTGAAAAGCGCCCGAACCACTATTTTGCTAATTCTTGTCACCTCAATGGGAATATGCAGCAATATTAGCTTCTATAGGGAGCACATGGACCTTCTACATCCAAAAATAATATCAGATTTCAAAAATTTAAATTTTGATTTTTCGAATTTCTGCCGCCGACTGTGACCTTGCCGACTTCCGGCGCTCCCAACGCGCCATTTTTAGAGCTAGGGAAACGAAATACATACCAAACGATAGAGAATTGATCAAGGAACACGATAGTGAAGGTTTCAAGTCGATATCTCCCACCGTTTTGCCGCAATCGCCGCGGAAAGTTGAAAAAAGTCTATTTTTCCGAAAATTTGACCTTTGACCGGTCAAAAGTAGGTCAAATGTTGACCTAGGACCAAAAAATATACCACCAATCGCGAGATCTCGGCGAGAGCAATCCGTTGGTCTTTTCCGCTAAGCTCCACGACGCTCCGTTTTCAAACGCCAAGGGGGGGGGGGTCGCACCAACCCCCCCCCCCCCCCTGCATGGGCGAAGGTGGCAGATCGCCGTTTACGGGCGAGGGTTAAATTTGGCTACTTGGTCTTCCAGAAGTCGCCAATTTATGCCAAGTCATTCCGCCCTATTCTGGTCACACGCTGTCGTCACTGGAACTTTTCGATACGCATTAAACGATATCCCACACTCCCCTCATGGGTAATGCATCCCAGCCGCGTGAGACGTGCGTAACCCGAGATCGGCGCGGTTCCGCCCACTTGTATATTCCTGCAGTCGTGCCCCCTGCCCCGTGTAACCCCCTCCCCCCACACCCGGTGTGATCTCATGTACCCTCTCGTCACCGGTCGGAAGTTCTTGACACAATGTGTGACGTCACTGGTATATTATGACGTCACTGGCGTATAATGATATCACCGGAGCGGGGTTTATAGAGCCTGTGGTCGCTGGTGGCGGACAGAGTTAGACCGACAGCGGAGTTGGTGCGAACGGAGGACCGAGTTAGAGAAAGAGTGTGAGAGTGTTGAAAGAAGAGCGACAGCGTAAACAGGTGAGTGGTGAGGGGTGGAAATTTGGGACAATGTTGTTTCATTGTCAGAGTAATGTGGTTTCATGAAATCATGAGGAATGGCCATAGGGTTATTCTGGATATAGTTCAAAGTTCCATAACATATGTGATATGTTATCAAATGGAATATCCAGCAGATTACTATAGTTGAAGACGAATTTCCATGGCAAGAGTGATATGATATCATGATATCATATATGGAATATCCAACTAGCTATTATCGAGGTAAATAACATCACCACAGTTCACTTATATTTTCCTCTCTGTTTTTCCCACAATGAACTCACCTGATGGGCCAGAGGGACAATGAATAACCACCAAACATAAAAGCACACAATGTGCTTGATTCCAGTCAGTCTTCTGAAGCGACCCGTCCGCCTTGTTACCCACAGTCTGTCCAGCATGCAAGCCCTCCAGTTCGCCCTTCTCTTGATCGCGGCTGCGAGCGTAGTCTCCGGCGCTCCCACTTCATACAACGACGACTACAACTACGATTACGACTACGGCAGCTACGAGACGGGCGGCAGCGAGTTCCACCTACCGAGCAGCATGTTCGACAACCTGCGCCCTCAGCCAGTGAAGAGGGATTCGCCGGTCCAGTCGCCCTGCTCCTGGGCAGTGGTGCAGTGCTGCGGCGTGCCAGATCAAATGGTGAGCGACCGGCTCCGGTGTTGCGTTCTCAACAGTTTCTTTTCCTTTTATGCATTTCTATGAAGTTTTAGCCTTATTATAGCCATTAACAATGATACCTTCTCACATTTTTCAATCGTAACTATATGTACCGTAAGGTGGGGCTATTTGAGACAGTGGGGCTATTTGAGACAGTTTTTAAAATGGCTATAAAATAAAAGCCACTTAAAATTTATGCTTAATTTTTTGCTCAGGCGATTTACTGCTCGATTCCACACCTCCCTGAGCAAAAAATATCACACAAAAATCAAACGATCTTCATTTTATAGCGATTTTCAATACTGTCTCAAATAGCCCCACTGTCTCAAATAGCCCCACTTTACGGTATGGTTTTTGTTTTCGCATCAAAATTATTAACATTCATCGCAAACAGTTGTATCTTGTTTCCACATTGAATTAGGCAATTATTATTGAATTAAATATCTACCACTGCTCCGAAATTCTCAGACATGTTCTTTTCCTTTTCGGCAGGGATCTCGCGCGAGCTGTTTCAGTCGTCTGGGCTGCCCGGGTGCCTGGTTCTCCGACATCTGCACACCGACCATCCAGAAGAGTGTCCTCAGGAGCATCATCGACTCACAGACCGGCAGGCTCTAGAGGTTGCTGCTCAAACTTCGGCATCATCGACTCACAGACCGGCAGACCCTAGAGGCTGCTGGTCAAACTTCAGCATCATCGACTCACAGACCGGCAGGCTCTAGAGTAACTTCGGCGCTATCAGCTTACATACATACAGGCTGTAGAGGCCGCTGGTCAAACTTCGGCATCATCGACTCACAGACCGGCAGGCTCTAGACTGAGTAACCTCGGCATCGTCAGCTTACAGACAGGCTGTAGAGGCTGCTGGCCAAACTTCGGCATCATCAGCGCACACACCGGCAGGCCCTAGAGGCTGCTGGCCAAACTTCGGCATCATCGACTCACAGACCGTCAGGCTCTAGAGGTTGCTGGAGTAACTTCGGCATCATCGACTCACAGACCGTCAGGCTCTAGAGGTTGCTGGAGTAACTTCGGCATCATCGACTCACAGACCGTCAGGCTCTAGAGGAACTTCGGCATAGTCAGCTTACAGACAGGCTCTAGAGGCTGCTGGTCAAACTTCGGCATCATCAGCGTAAAGACCGGCAGGCTGTCACTGCTGGTCAAGCGGCAGGATCTAATATAGGAGCTGCTGAATCAGCGTCATCTTCTTCAGCTAACAGAGTGGCAGGCTTTGATAGCTGGTGGCTTAGGCTCTGGAAGGTACAGATTGGCTTGAGATTCTAGGAGGTCATGGTCTGACCTCAACATAAACAAATCAGAGACAGGGAGGCTCTAGAACCTGCATTTGTACATCGGGCTCTAAAAATGGTTGCTCTGGTTTCCTTCTTCAGGAGCTAATGGTCATTCCAGCATCAGGCGCTCCACATGCGCTCCGGAGTGGTTCTCTGTGTCATGCATTGAAACGTCAAGACTATATACGAGAGATTGCAATGTTTGGGATGGCAATGTGTCCCTTTTTTCATCGGATGATGGAACTTTTGTCAAATTTGGAAGATTTGGATAGTTGCTGGCTGGTTGAAAAAAAGTTGAGATCGGCAGACGCGTGCCTTAAAGAAAGGTAGATAGTTTTTTAATCACCAAAGATGCATTGACATAAATGCTGTGTCAGTGAAACTTTCCTTTCATTTATCATTGTTGTTGCGTGCATGCTCGTAGAAGCAATGATTGATATTTAATGTGACTTTCGCTGTAGAATTAGCACACATTTAGGTATGTGTTCGTGCTGTCATGCAGCTAATGTGTTATAATATTGCATAGGATTGGGATTTTTTAGCATATTTTCCTTCTAACTATGTATTTTGTACGTGACTATCAAACGGCCAGTATTGTCGTAACAAAAGTTGTTCAATATTTTAAATATGTGTGAGACGCAAACAGCATCGTCCAGAATCACTTCGACGCTTGTTTATAGGTGTGCGTGTTTTTTCGTGAATCATGTTTAAGCCTTATATATATATTAAACATGTTGTTCATTGTTTACTGTTCTCGATCAACATAATACATTCAACAATGGTGCATTTGTGAGTAAATATTCGGTCTTATCTACCTACATGGCCAACTGCATGGACCACTTTCAGTTGTCACAGGAGACGAGACGGCAAACCCAGCCACAAATTGCCGCCAATTGGCTGAACCACCCTACAGGCGTCCCGTCGGCTTAGACGGGGAGGGCGAGCGATGTTCTGACCTTGTCTGCCCTCAGAGGTCACACCAATTCACCGGCTATAAACTGAGCCAGACAGGTCACGTGACAACCAGAGGCGGATTCAGCAACGTGAGAGTGGGGAAGTGGGCTCAGCGACGTAGCGAAGGAATTGAAAGGCCAGTTTCTGTATTTCTACCAGTACCGGTTGTCATTCAATTTGAAAACGAGCGGAGGCCTCTTGCACCAAAATCCTCTTGCACAAATGCTTGGAATATTTTGCATTGTATACCCAGTCCAAGTCTCAAATGTAACAATTTGCGTGCAAAATTTAGCAAGCACATGTAGGATTATGTATTGGGCTATTGCAAACAAATTTACCACCGTTAGATTAGCTTATTCTGAAACCGGTTTTTCGATTTTACCTAGCTAGGTAGTTTGGTGCAAGAGGCCTCGGATTTGGATAAAACACATTTTGTTGTCACACGACCGTTTATTGTTTATTGAAGACACTGAAACCCTTGAGCAATATTGTACCGTTGTTGGCATTCCTTGAACAAATCTGGGCATTTGGCGACAAATAGTAAAATACCTATACCAATAACTTCAGCATATCTGTTTCTGTATATATTCGAGCGAATGACAACAATTATACCTTCCTAAAATACCATACCATTTGTATAATTGATGTCATTCGCTCGAGCATATACAATCATGTCTGATAATTCACTATCCATCCTGTCTATCTGTTTCTATTGTTGGCATTGTAACTCGCAGGCTTTTTACTCAGTCATTTCTGAAAGTCCTGCCACACACAACTCACTAGCTATGGCATTTATGGCAACATCAACGTTGACAACTAAATGGTGCCCACGATCAGAGCACTGCCTTTTTCAGCACTACTGCACGATTTTGTTGAATGAGGCTCGGGATTTATTTTACCTCACAAGAAAGTTCACTTGACACCATTTCGCATGCATGTACAGTTACCAGCCCCTCCACTTTGCTCTTACACTCCTCCAAGGCCCATATACATACACATCTCACATATGTAGAACAATGGTGCACATAATCAAGGCGAGAATTTCATAGATTTAAACACGGACTTGAACACCACCCTCTTTATTTCTGGAGTGCAGAAATCTTGAATCCACGAGCCGTAGCAGCCCACGTGACTAAAACAGCTGACACGAGAGCCCTGGAAACAAAACACAAGGTTGGAACCAGAGTTGGGACGATGCAGCACAGAAGGGCTACATCTTTTTTTTAAATTGAGCCCTATAGTAAGGAGATCAGCAATCGGGTGTGTGTACAATGTTCATCACCTGGATATATTTTATAGATTCCGTTCCTGGCATAATAGTAAGAAAAGTTGAGCAGGCCATTTACGCGATCAAAGAGACATTCGAAACGAGACGGTAAACGTTTTTGACTCTTATTGCATGAAATGAATTTAGAAGAAAATATAGGCAACCATCGTATTCAGTTTTTTATATATATGATACAAGCTACATATGTCCATTACTGTCATAAGCAGACGATAAACATTTTACCTCGAGTCAATTTCTCTCCTGAGTCCTCCGGTCTCTGAGCTCACCAGTTTGTCGGGGTTGGAGCAGCACTGGACTCACCAGTTTGTCGGGGTTGGAGCAGCACTGGACTCACCAGTTTGTCGGGTTGGAGCAGCACCAAACTCACCAGTTTGTCGGGGTTGGAGCAGCACTGGACTCACCAGTTTGTCGGGGTTGGAGCAGCACTGGACTCACCAGTTTGTCGGGGTTGGAGCAGCACTGGACTCACCAGTTTGTCGGGGTAAGAGCAGCACTGGACTCACCAATTTGTCGGGGTTGGAGCAGCACTGGACTCACCAGCTTGTCGGGGTTGGAGCAGCACTGGACTCACCAGTTTGCCGGGGTTGGAGCAGCACTGGACTCACCAGTTTGTCGGGACTGGAGCAGCACTGGACTCCCCAGTTTGTCGGGGCCGGAGCAGCAGTGGACTCACCAGTTTGTCGGGGTTGGAGCAGCACTGGACTCACCAGCTTGTCGGGGTTGGAGCAGCACCAAACTCACCAGTTTGTCGGGGTGGAGAAGCACTGGACTCACCAGTTTGTCGGGGTTGGAGCAGCACTGGACTCACCAGTTTGTCGAGGTTGGAGCAGCACTGGACTCACCAGTTTGTCGGGGCTGGAGCAGCACTGGACTCACCAGTTTGTCGGGGCTGGAGCAGCACTGGACTCACCAGTTTGTCGGGGTTGGAGCAGCACCAAACTCACCAGTTTGTCGGGTTGGAGCAGCACCAAACTCACCAGTTTGTCGGGGTTGGAGCAGCACTGGACTCACCAGTTTGTCGGGGTTGGAGCAGCACTGGACTCACCAGTTTGTCGGGGTTGGAGCAGCACTGGACTCACCAGTTTGTCGGGGTTGGAGCAGCACTGGACTCACCAGTTTGTCGGGGCCGGAGCAGCACTGGACTCATCAGTTTGTCGGGGTTGGAGCAGCACTGGACTCACCAGTTTGCCGGGGTTGGAGCAGCCCTGGACTCACCAGTTTGTCGGGGTTGGAGCAGCCCTGGACTCACCAGTTTGTCGGAGTTGGAGGTGCACTGGACTCAACAGTTTGTCGGGGTTGGAGCAGCACTGGACTCACCAGTTTGTCGGAGTTGGAGGTGCACTGGACTCACCAGTTTGTCGGGGCTGGAGCAGCACTGGACTCACCAGTTTGTCGGGGTTGGAGCAGCACTGGACCACCGCCCAGGCGCAGGAAGATGGTAGCACGTCTCCCTGGGACGGCGGACGCGGCTGCATGTCGCCGAACATGCTGAACGGGAGCGCTGTGGGCGGCTGGAAGTCGCTGTAGACCTCGTAGTAGTCGTACTCATACTCCTCAGTGGTGGCTGGAGGTGGAACTGCGGTGACTGGAGGTGGAACTGTGGTGGTTTGGAGCGGAACTGTGGTGACTGGAGGTGGAACTGTGGTGGCTGGAGGAGCGCTGGCTGCTTGAGAGGATGGAGGATGCTCGCTTGTGGATGTCAGTGAGGGAGATGAAGAATCTGAAGATGTTGAGGTAGCTGACTCGCTGCCTGAGGATAGGCCATTCGGTGAAGCGGTAGCTTCTGATGATGTTGAGCCCTCGGAGGTTAAAATGTTAAATTCCAAAGAAATGGCAGTTAAATTCACAAACGGCATATCTTCTTCGAGCGAGGTTACATCATAGTCATCCAGCACGCTGTTCAGCAGATCTGCGAAGATGTCGTCCTCTGCGGAGGTGCTGTTGAGGTCCAGCATGCTCTCCAGGTCGCCGAAGTCCTCCGTTAGGGAGGTGAACTCGGCGAGAAGGGCGTCCTCGGGTCGGTCGGTGCTGGTCGGAGCGGAAGTCACCAACCCCAGACAGAGACACAGCGCGGCGGGGGTTATCCACATTTTGTGCGGAGCCCTGAAACAGCCAGATAATGCTTGTGAGACCGCCAGTTAGCTTAAAAGTGATTATTTGTCTGGCTATGATGCTAGTCTGATGCCAGTTGTCGATTGACTGGATAATAATTAAAATCACACACACTGGTGAATCGGATACTTAAAATTTTTTGCATGCGTAAGCACTCGATAGAGCGACGGGCCTATACTCGCTTAGTTGAATCCGTGTCCCTTTCAATAGCACTCCACCACCTCACGTCAGAAGGTTAGGTAACTAGAAAGGTTAGGTAACTAGAAGGTTAGGTTACTACGTATTCATGGCACATTTTCCACGTCGAATTGCTCAGTAAGTCCATTGTGCACACCTCAAGGCTCAAACACCTCAAACAGGTGACCTGTTTCTATGCTCCCAGCGGTCAGCTCCAGCGCTCGGCCCAGACAATCCCCCCCCCACCCCTCGCCGGCCGCCCCCCCCCCCCCGCCCGCTCCCCCACTGCCCCAGGCGCCGTCTGGCACCTCCTTACAGGTGCGTACTCAGATCAACCAATCAGCGATCGGGTGACATCCATTACCCATAATGCGTGAGTCCGCGACCTGCCATAAGTGGCATGTGTCATATGGGGACTTGTTTGCGATTTCAGTGGTGATGGAAATGAAAGCGTGTGTGTTTTGCGCTATTGTGTGTCAGTGGTGTGTTGCATGCATATTGCATTCCAGTGGTGAATTTGAAGTGTGCTGGGCGGCCATGGAATCAGAAACGCAGATAATATGATCGTGCAAAGGCGCCTATCCTCGTGAGATCAAGATTGCTCCCATCCATCATGGCGCCGGGGCGATTGCAGAACAAATCGGATCTGCGTCCAGCAAAGAGACCGGCTCGGACATTCTTCATAATGGTAATGTACCGATAACTTCATAGCTGTAGCCTTAACTATGCTTTTGTACAACATTTACTGCATGCATTTTGGTAAGAACCGTGCATTAACCCGCGCCCCGCTGGGCTATTCAGCAATACGCGCCCTGCTGGGGGGGGGGGGGGGGGGCAGATTCTGCCCCCTTGTCTAACTTCCAAACCGATGGTCGTAGAAAGACGGGGAAAACGGCAATCGAAAGCTCTTAACAAGGCGGGGTATTAGTATATATAAGGTCCGAGTGGCGAACCGATTATGAAAAGCATACTATACGATGTATTTTGACCTCCTCATTTCATATCTAATAGTTATTCCTTCTGGAACCAAGTATCAAAGCACCTATGAAATACTTAAGTTACCGCAAATCGCTACCGCACTCCACACCAACTCCACACTAGCGCAATGTGCCGGGCGGCAATTACTTGCGCAAAGCTGGCCAAGGTCAAGTAAATCAAGGATGATATCTAACAGTTGCTATTCAACTGTGAATAATGACGTCATAATGCTTCTCGCGGCGAAGCAGCGCAGTGCCGAAGGCAATGCCTTAGGAGAGATTACAGGCAAGAGTAAATCAAATATTTTTAGGTTAAGTGGTTATGTATCTGGCTTCAGGCCGAAGGCCTGAAGCCTGATGCATGACCACTTAACCTAAAAATATTTGATTTACTCTTGCCTGCAATCTATTCCTGCAAGTAACTTTTTCCTTATCCCCGGTAGGCAAACATCAGTAGGTTAGGTTAGGTTAGGTTAGGTTAGGTTAGGTTAGGTTAGGTTAGGTTAGGTTAGGTTAGGTTAGGTTAGGTTAGGTTAGGTTAGGTTAGGTTAGGTTAGGTTCCTTTTTTTGTAATTATGACGTCACTTTCATCACACCATTCGTATCGTTTTCTTTTTCCCCACCCAAAACCCCTGTTCCTAAAATTTCCCCTGAAATGGCAGCAATCCACATATGGCAGCGCTACAACGCCCACGTTTTTCATTCGTCGCGTGTTAATGCCGCCGGGTGGTATTGTAGTGAAATGGGTTGGTGATTTGGTGTTTTTTCCACGTTTCCAGTACATGTAAGTATCATTTTTTGATTCAGGATGTCAAATAATGTAAGAATGTGAAAACTTTATCTTTTAACAGGCACTCGGACCTAATGTATACTTTTACCCAAGGCGGATCTTAAGAGCCCAATTTTTTTTGCTTAAGTAGATCAGAAGTCAGGTCAAGGTCAGGTCAAGGGTACAAAATGCAAGTTTCGACAGTATCGGCCTTGCACCGTAGTTGCCGAAGAATGGACTGAGACTGATTGCCCAAAACGTGTTCTTAGACTACCAAGACAATATTCGTTGCATACAATGTCATTCAAAGGTCAAGGTCAAGGTCAGGTCAGGTCAGGTCAGGTCAGGTCAGGTCACCAAAAACAAAATATAGAAAAGGGCATGTGCGACACATGTTCTATGGGTAAAATGACCCATAGAATTCAATAGGCACACTCAATAAGTGATATGGACCACCTCTGGATGAATTTCAGGTCGAGGTCAGGTCAAGGTCAGGTCAAGTGAGGTCAAATTTTGAAGTTGGTTGTTAAGGCCTAAAAAGGTGTCTATCTGATGCAGTTTTTCACGGCGAATCGAATTGTGCTATTTTGTTTCCGTACCAGGTCTAGAACTTCAAAAAAAATATTTTTTCAAAAATTTTGTGTGTCGTGACGTCATAAAGTTTTGAATAACTCCCACATTTTTGAACCGATTCTTCTAAAAATTGGTATGTAGGTGCACATAGACCACTTCTCTGACATATATTCCGGTTTTTTCGATGCACTCAAAATTTTGGAATTTATAATTATTTTCCCAAAAGTCAGTTTTTTGAAGAAAAAAAAATTTGGGCCCAAAACCAAAATTTTCAAAAAACCGAGATAGCCATTTGATAGACAAAGTAGAATCACGTATAACCTTTTTTGATACGTCTTGATTTCTTTATAAATGAAGATGTTAGCGGCGTTTGAAATTTTGCCGTTTTTTAGGCGAAAATGGCGAATATGACGTCACTAAAACGTCAATTTCTCAAAAAATTTCCGACGGATTTCGCTCAAATTTTTAGGGAACGTGTCAAATTGATGTATGATAAGGTACCGAAAGTTTGACGTCGCTGGCGTAACGCGTTTAGAAGTTATTGGCGAAAAACGGGAGGGGGGCAGATTCTGCCCCCCAGCGGGGCGCGGGTTAATAGTCGGGTCATAGACCTTGACGTTGACCTGAGGTCAAGTTTCATGGTCGACTTTAGGCAGGCATCTAGTTCATTCGAAGCTGAAGCGTCTTCACAAGGGAAACACTATGAATGTAAGCGAAATGGTTACAAGCATTTTGCTTTTTTATCATCTGACCACAATATTTACCCTCGCCCGACAATGGGGGGGGGGGGGGGGTGAGGCAACTAAGGCTTTTCGCAAAATAGCGTAAAAACGGCGGCGCGTAGTGCCACCAAATGTGGCATACCCTCTGGGGCAACCTTTTGGCACCTTCCCTGAAACTCACCCTTTTCTGGTCAGGTCACCAGGTCACGAAAATCGGTACAAGGTCAGGATAAGATTGGACTAACTAGTTGAGCGACAACGGAATCACACAGTTTTTTGTTCATAGTGAAGGAACCGTGGCACGTAGCACCACCAAATTTCAGACACAACTTGGGGCAATCATTTGACACGTTTTCTTGGGGGTTTCAGTTCCAGTGACCTCAGGTCAGGTCCCAAGGTCACAAAAACCGACCCATGGTAAAAACGGCACTGAAACTACACTATTTTGTCAATGAAATATAGTGTTGTTCATCGATTTGATTCGGAGTGACAGGATATGCTAAGCTCACCGAGTGGTTTAAGCTGCACTTTCCAGTTTTTTTTTTCAAATTCGGGTGACCCGAGGTCATCTAGAGGTCACAACAAATTTTGAGAAAATTTGGCCGAATGGTTGAAATTGTAAAAATATCCTCCACATCAGCGTATTTTGTCTTGCAATACCTCAGTTTACATCAATGCGTGATGAATTTGATGTTTGCTTGCTGCGAAAATGCTAGGGTCAGGTCAACTACGGTCAAATGAGGTCAAACTACTTTTTTGCTAACAACTTGGCACACAATGAGGCTAGAGCTTCAAAAATTGTGTTCCTTGTGATCAGCCGAGTTGAATGATATGCGATATGCCGCATTTTGATGAACTTTTGATCTTATGAACTTAATTAATAAATTTAAGTTCGCTTAATTTTTAGTAAAAATTAAAGTTCACCTAAACTGGAAACAAAGTGCACTGTTTGATATGTATGCGCATTGACGTGCTGAGTTCACTGGTGCTTTTTATTTTTGCTCTATTTTTACACGATGAAAAGTTATTGACGAAGAGCTTTTGAGTTTCAGCTATGTAAATTCTCATATTTTTACCCCCAAAAGTCAAAAACCCCTAGATATTGACCTAGAATCACCAGATTTGCACACACACGGGCGGGATCCCTTATGGGCCCACCTACCCTGTAAATGTTGTGTTTCTAAATGCTATAGGAGCCAATCGCCAGGGGGTTCGTAGTTCGTACCAACCCCCCTCACCGTCCGCGTTATGAAAAAGGACCTCGCTTTGTGAGGGTTAAGCGTATATTTGCATGGTTCTTGTCATTTAGAGGCTATACGTTGGTCTGAAATCAAGCCTAAGATCATGTTAGTGAAGAAAGAGCTTTGAAAAAATGTCGATTGTGAGGAGGCCATGGTATTAACAACAGAAAAAACGCCGGATGCGGTTATTCTTTTGCCTAATGGCATCCCCGAATTTCGCGGTGAAAAAAATCCCCTAATGTGAAAACTGACATCATTGTACCAAACTGATGTTTTCACATTACCTATCGATTTTTTTCTCGCTTAGCTGGTTTAATTTGGGGAGACTGCAAGAGCTAAATATAGCTATCTGCAGCTGGCGGCTTTCTGTTGGAAAAGCTGGCCAATGATATTACTTGATCAATACCAGTTGACCATTATCCCTAATGACCGATAAATTGACAAGGTGGAGGGAGGTAAATGATAATGGGTGATCTTGGAATATCGATAGTTCTTGTATCACATGATACATACGTTGTGTAAACTGGACGCAACAGGATAAAAATCAAAGCCCGTTGACTATTACACACAAACCTCAAATCCAGAAACGTAAACTGCATATTCGCCGTCACGATAAGCCTAACAATGCCTAGTTATGTGATCAGTTGCACGCATTTGGTATTTTACATACTTTGAGGCCACGGCGGTCAGTAATCTTGAGGTGGAGTGGCAGACGACTTGGTGACTGGAAGGAGGAGGACGAATGAAAGAAATCACTCACTGTGACCGGAAACTTCTTCCCAGTTTCCAATGTTACGTCGGTGAAAACTGGAAATTCCTCTTCTCCTCCCTCTCTTCTCCCGCTCTTCTCCTCCCTCCCTCCCTCTCTCCTCTCTCTTCTCTCTTTCCTCCCTCTCCCTCCCCTCTTCCTCTCGCTCCCCACTTCACTCGCGTGACACGTCACAGTTTCTTCCCTCTGCCGAACCGAATCTATTCCGAAATTCCTCTCGTGTCTCTCCACAGGCACTGTCTGTTCACAGTTACTTATCCTCTAAAAATCTGAGACTTTAGGTAATGAAATCAAGAGGGCACCACGCGCGCTGCCGGACGCACCACGCGCCGAGCACAGATTGTGCCGCGCCTCTCCGCCCCTCTCCCCAACGCGGCGGATGTGCAGATTGATACAGACGCAGCCTCTTCCTCTCTCCCTCCTCCCTCCCTCCCTCTCTCTCTCTCTCTTCGCCGCTCGGTGGCTAAATTTGTGCGTCAGAGGAGCACGGGCGTGGTAAGAGCAGAGGTGCAGATACATCGGGTGAGAACAATGAAGGTTAACCCTCGCCCCGCTGGGGGGGGCATTTCTCCCCCCCCCCCCTGTAGTTTTCCTGCATAGCAAGAAATCGGCGGCGGGCAGCGCCGCCAAATTTTCAGTACCTTCTCGGGCATCAATTTGACACCTCCACACAAAATTTCATAAAAAGTCTTAAGACATCTTAGGTCAGGAGTTATTGAGGTCAACCTGTTCGAGCAAAGCAATGTTCGAGCAAAAATGAGCAAAAAACATGAAATCTTGAAGCGCTTACATTGATTTTCAATACATTACACGGTATTGCCGATGTAATATCGGTCGAAAAGACATGCCTTCATGGCAAAGACTGCACTGCGGCTGATTTTGGGCCACTTGTGCCGGCGTATGGTAATCATCGGCTGGCGAAGGGTTATGGGAGACTTCAAGGCCCTGTAGGATTCGAAGTGGGCTCGTCAGAGGCCGTGTGCGCCCATCCTGGGTCTGGGTAGGTCTATCATAGGGACATACATGACAAGTCAGGGGCCAATGTTGATCCACCAGGGGTCGTTGAAGGGCTATCAGGGTCCGCAACTACCCCTGATGGGTCTACGCCATGCCCCTATGGACTAACGCTGGCACTTGATGAGCCATCACCAGCCTCTAATGGGTCTACAAAGCCCCCTGATGGGTATAAATAGGTCACTGATATGCCCAAATGGGACACTGAGAAGCCCACAACATCTAACTGCAGCTGATGGACCAATGCTGTCCCCTGATGGGCCCACCACGGCTTTTGAATGGTCCCCTGATACGCCTTTAGGGGCCTGAATGGACCCCTAATAGACTTAAGTGGTTCTTAATGATCCTCAATCAATCAATCAATCAATCAATCATGTATTCTTATAACACTCCACGTGGTGGCTCTTCCGGTTACGCGTCACATTTTACAATGGTACTCACATTCATGCACATTCACATTCATAATAAAAGGTAGGTATAAAAATAAAAAGTAGAAATAGGTACAAATAAAATGAGAGACATCAGATATCGGCTGGCTGGTGGTGCGTTCATTGCGCCCGCCGAGTACAAGTCCGCGAGCTCGCCGAGTCGCGCGATACCGACTTGCTGCTGTTCCATGCGGAAACAGCACGGAATGCAAAGCAGCGACGAGCAATCTCTGTACGGACCCTGGGCAGCTCCAAGAGTCTGTCGGCTGTGCCTCGAGTGACACGGCTTGACACGGTCTCACGGTAAGTCACACGCTCTCTCAGGCACACAGGCGAACGAGGCGAGTGCAGAATCATGTGCATCGCCGCCAAATCACGCTGATTTAACAGATCGTCAAATCGCTGCCAGCCCAGCTCCGTCAGGAGGGGGGTCACGTGATCATACCGGCGAGCACCCTTCACAATACGAACACAATGGTTTATTACCTTCTGGATGCGGTACCGCTGGGCCCTGCTGCAGCTCCCCCACACAGTCAAACAGTACATCAAATGAGGAAACACAAGTGCTTCAAGAAGTCTCTTTTTCACAGGCTCGGTCAGTCTTTGCGAAAATTTTGATAGACCACAGATGCATGCATAACAGCGCTTGATTACAGCTGACACGTGTGCCTCCCAGGTCAAGTTTTTGTCGACAACGACGCCCAATGTTTTGATAGACTGGGAGGGGTGAATAGTGGATGAGTCAAAGTCGATGGAAAACGTGCCTACCGAGCGCCGCTGGTGGGCATGCACCAGCATGAAATCTGTTTTGGTGGGATTGATTTTTAAACTGTTCTGCGAGAACCAGGCGTCAGCTATCCTTAAACTTTCCTCAATGCGCTCTTTCAACTTAGTAAAATCTTTTGGGTGACATGTGTGGATGAACTGCACATCGTCCGCGTACATTATGAGCCTACAACCAGTGATGTGAGATGAAAGGTCGTTTGTAAATAATAAAAATAAAATTGGTCCTAAAATTGATCCCTGGATCACACCATGACTCAGCGGCAAAACATCATGACCATCCCGCACACGCTGTCTGCGGCCACTCAGCCAATCACAGAACCAGTGCTGCTCAATACCATACCACGCGAGTTTTTCCAGGAGCCGGTCATGCTCGACGCTGTCAAAGGCTTTAGAGGTGTCAATCGCCGAAAGAGATGCAATTTGCCCTTTGTCCAAAGACTCAGTCAGATACATCACAGCATCGAGCATGGCCGCCTCCGTGGAGTGGCCGGGTCTAAATCCGTGCTGCTGCTCACACAGCACAGAGTTCACAGACAGGTACTCCATTAGCTGGTCACACACAACACGTTCAGCTAATTTTGCGACAGTCGGCCTGTAATTGTTTGGATCAGTTTTACTACCGGACTTATGAAGCGGTAAGACAGTAGCTAATTTCCAGTCAGGCGGTATCTCAATGGCTCCCATGAGCCCTCAACGTCCCCCGACAGCCATAAATCAAATGGCTCCTGAGCCCTGTTGGGTCAACACCGGTCCCCTGATCCACCTGCACTGGACCTGCCGGGCCTATACCGACCCATAAAGGGCCTATGTCGAGCCCTCATGGGCCTCCGATGACCAAACGCCGGCATGTGTGCTTGAAGATGGGTTTACGAACTGCCGCATGCCATTTTTCCTCCAAAATTGAGTTCATACTTGCGGTTCGAGCTCAGGTAAAAGGCAGAGTTTTGCTATACCTTTGTGCTGAAGTAGTCTGCTTAATAATACACCTTTTTGCGTTTGAATTCAACCATTCGCCATAACTGTTTGAGGAGCCATTTCGACAATCGGCATTGAGCACAACTATTCCGGCGCGACGTGTTTCATTTCAGCCATTCAGCAAAACAGATTGAGCACTGAAATGAGCGATCTGCAAAACACTTTGACACTTCGCCAGACTTCGGCATTGAGCGAGCCAGCTCGGCATATGACGAATAGTTTCGACCATTGACGATTTGTTTTGCACAATGTTGAACCCAGGGGGGTTCATTCCCGTGTTAAAGGGGATATTCAAAAGTGGCAATAGGCCAAGTGGCTCGCTGATTGGCTGTCAGCCTTGCCACGTCATAATATCCCCTGCTGCACATACCGCTATAGAAGCCCGTGGTTACTTTTTGACCTCGTTTAAAAATATCTTTGAGTTTGATGCAAACTTGAGGCTTTTTATGAAAGTTAATTTTCGTTTTAAGTGACACATGTGCACGAAACTAAATATTTCACTTTAAGTTTTACAAATTTTGGGATGAACGATAACCGTACCCCTGGTGACGTCATTTGTCGTTTTCCTGATTTACACAGAAGACAGGCCCCCAGAAAAGGCCTGAATGGCGCATGATACAATGTCGGCGCAAACTTGTTTAGCTTTTGTTGCGGGTTGTATGTGGTATTACCTACCGTGATATTGTGAAAATATATGAAGTTATTACGAAGTTCTTTGGAAAATTAACTAGGCTTCTGTGCCGCAGACATCGTCAAATTGATCATCACCATAATATTGACATGTAAATGTCCTGCCATACCTTTCAATTTGGGCAAAACAGGTGAGTATCAGTACACCTACATTTGTTATGTTCCTGATGCATGAGTGTTTGTTGTGGTACAAAAATGAAATTGTTAATAACTTTGTTGCTTATGCTTTATAAGTTACCATACTGAAAAGTGAAAATAGTATTGCTACCTTGCATAAGGATCAGTGAACTTTCTTTGCACCAATTTACACTGCACATGTTTGCTCATAACTGGCTCATTTTTAATTGAAATCCATAGGAAGCTTGAACAGTGAAAAAGTAATACAAAATCTTAACAAAATCTTTGGTAAATTGAGTACGCAGCATGCACCATATCTATTTTACTCTGGTTTTGTCTTTCTTAGCCATGCAACAATGATTTGAACCTGAAAGTCTTGAAACATAAAAATGCCACTGTCAGTGCGGAGACCTGATTGTTCTCCTGCTTCTTTTGTTATAAATTTGAGTCACAGCTTACGTTTATTCTGCATTTGGAACTGTCGCCCCACTTTGTGTAGGCATTATTTCAACCCTTCACTCACATATTGCCCCATACACTAAACAAGCCATCATATTCCTTCCAGGGGCGGATCCAGAAAAACTCCAGGGGGGGGGGGGGTCATGAATTGAAGTAGGCCCCTACCTATACCCAAAATTAAAAACTTAACAGACTTTGGCCACTTAATTTTGGTGGGCCCTATTTTTAGTTTTTTTCCTGTTTTTTTTTTATTTTTCCCCTGCCCCCTGGGCCCTGACAGAACTGTGGTGCCCCTAAAAGGCCTGAAGTGTCCCTGACAGGCACGTGGTGCCCCTGACGGGCCCAAGATGCCCCTGCGAGGCCGGTGGTGCCCCTGGCTGGCCTGTGGTGCCCCTGACAGACCTCTGCTGTCCCTGACAGGCCTGTGGTGCCCCTGAAAGGACTGTGGTGCCCCTGGGCCCTGACAAGCCTGAGGTGCCCCTGACAGACACATGGTGCCCCTGACAGGCCCGCGGTGCCCTTGCTAGGCCTGTGGTGCCCCTGGCAGGTCTGTGGTGCCCCTAGCGGGCCTGTGGTGCCCCTGCTAGGCCGCTGGTGCCCCGGGCCCTGGCAGGACTGTGGTGCCCCTGAAAAACCTGAAGTGCCTCTGATAAGCCCAAGGTGCCCCTGGGCCCTGCGAAGCCGGTGGTGCCCCTGGCCCCTGCGAGGCCGTTGGTGCCCCTGGCGGGCCTGTGGTGCCCTCGTCAGGCCTGTGGTGCCCCTAGGAATTGATAGGCCGGTGGTGGCCCTGGCAGGCCTGTGGTGCCCCCGTGGGGCACCGCAAGGGCCCCAAGGGGGGGGGGCATGACCCATATGACCCCCTTGGATCCGCCACTGATTCCTTCTGCCTTGTTTGTGATATATGTGCTTGTGTCCCTTTCAGATCCTGCATTTCCTACATATCCAAAAGAACCAGTACCCAGTCCGCGCAGCGTAGA